ATCGATTCGATGGGATCTGAGGAAGGTGGAGTTGGAGCTGGAGAGATGTAGTCCACAATGGACTACCAGAGAAGCGGGTGAGTTGTCATCGAAGGGAGATTTCCATGGAAGATAGATGGCCAAATGTTCTTTCTCCATGAATTAATGTGAAAGTTGTATAATAACACCCTGCGAAAAAAGATAGGTATATTGGAATCAAGTGTCTGTTTAATTGGAACAAAATTTTATCTATTTAACTCCTAGAAAAGGCTAAGTTTCGAATTCATTCTTTTGAGTTTTTAAAAACTCACAGCAAAATTTTTAGATTATTTTACTTCAGAAAGTAGGAGGTATCTCTCGGTCGCTTTACTATATTTTAATTTAATTTTCTCTAACGATGTAGGATAACTTGTTTTGTGATTTGTCTACCAATTAATGCAGGATCATGACTGGGCCACTGACTGACGGCATTTTGATTTCGGCTGCCATCGAGTATCGAGTGTCAGCGACATGGGAAGCACGCACAGGATTCCAGGATCGGAGCTCGAATAAAGGAACCCAGTCCGTCGAGATGAAAGATATGCGAGATCAACATGTAATCTTTGGCATAAATACGAGAAACGCTTAAGAAAACTGACAACAACGGCGGGACAATGAGCGCATGTTGCATGCCCGATCGAATGTCCTTTGATATCAAACGTTAAAGGAGCACCGAGCGGTACTTGAATTTCATTATGCGAAAAGGTAGAGGCCGCGCCATCCTTTGTGTGCCTCGATGTCGAGACCTGTTGTCGTCTGAGTCCGCATTTTTCACTTTAAGTCTGAGTCAGTGAGTGCACTTAGAAAAAGTATACCCCATGCTGAATTACAAATTCTTTTGATCAAATTAAATCCAAATATAATAAAAAGAACATATTTCTGTAAATATTTAATAAATATTAAATATGACTAAATTAGTTTAGAATTTACAGGCAACATGAAGCGCTAACTCGTCTTTTCTTGAGTGTGGCAGGGAAGCAACCCTTGCAGTTCGGGGGAATTTCGAGGTCGATGCTGCCGGTGCGGCTGCCTCGGTTCTTTTTTACCCAGAACGCACACTTCAACCCTCCGGGACCCGCACCCGTGCCCGGAGTCCTGCCCCGAATGTCCTGCTTGTCAACTCCTTTTGTCGTCGCCATCATTTGCGGCCGCTTGACACTTGCAGATTAGTAAAGTGTTGAGTGCGGAATACTTTTCCTGCTAATTGCCGGCGAATAATTAGTTGTGCTCCAAATCGATTGCAGTCTGCAGGACTGGCAGGATTCGCAGGACATGGGCATTGCAATGATTTGCATTCTTCATTGTCTGAGCATCGGACCGGTGTTCGGGGCAGTCCTTTTTCGATTTTTTCTCGAGCCGTTGAATTAACTTCTCAGCTTGATTCATGACTTTTGGTAATTTTAATCTTCCTTTCCGGTGTTGCACTTTTTTGTGGGCGTTTTGCTTAACCTTTTTCTGTTTAAGAGTGTTTTCTTTGATTCATAATATTTTCAAGAAGATGCCACTTTAGCTAAAGGGGAAAATTGCCTTCTTTCATCACAACAAGTATTGTCTTCATAGGCCTTATCGATTAACAAATTGTTAAATGTCCATAATGCAATATTTACTGATTTTCAGGTGAACAAATTCTGAAATAAATAGTAGATTTGGCTTTTTATTTGAATTTGAATTTTTGAATTATGGTTGATATTTATCTATTTTTTATATATCACGCCACATAAAATAATACAAAAAATGGGTAGATAGTTAGATTTGACAAATAAAATGCATTATATTTAGGAACTTCCACTGTACCGAAACATGCGACTAAAATGAAAAAATGAAGCATACTTTTAGACATAGACAATCTGTTAGACTCTGTAAGCACAACTCATAGAACAGCATGTAGATAAATGTGCAGCACGCGTGTAAAATACATTTGGATATAAAATATGTAAGTTTTAAAGGTATATGATATCAAAATACAAATTTAGCTTAATACATTAATTAATATTAAACATAAGTTTGGTTTTAATATAAGAGTTAATAAAATTCTTTATTAAAATATTCTTGAATACTTTTGATATGTCCAATATATATATCAATCTAGTTGATTAAAAATACTAAATTTTTGCATAAAATTTATAAAACACTATCAAAGAAAACCGAAACAAAGAAAATATAGAACACCCTTTTCAGACCCTATGAAGAACGAGTCCTTCGAATTAATTTCTTCTTTAGTATCGTTTCATTTTAATGGCGAAATGATAAACTGAAGTACCTCTTCCGCTCGTTGCAACAATGTTTCGTGTTTTATCACCACATGCCCTCTCTAAAAATAATCCCCCCAATATGCATAAATTAGGATCCCCGATCGCAGTGTCTGGGCTGTGTACACGCTAATTATAATGACAAATCGGTCAATTATAATGCCATGTCATAAATTTCCGAACGGCGATCGATCAGCGATCCCCGCTCGACTCGAATATTGAATAAAATGGATCGTAAATTGTGAAAACATGCCTGCTCACCGTCTCCACCTGCATGGGGGCGACTTCATTAGGGAGCTATGGCTGGCTCCATGGGATCGAGATAATTAACAGGACTCTCTGGGCTAGACAAAAGTCCAGGTTCTTGTAAGCCAGATCAATGGGCCAGCAATTTGCCAGCCGCTCAAGGCAAAAGTAAAAGGAAGCTGAACATCCCAAGTGGATGGGGATGTGGATGTGGATGCGGATACAGCTCGAAATTGGGGGCTTTAATGAAGCCAGTGGACAGCCTCCTCGAAAGCTGTCAGAATGCCCATTTCGGCGCCACGCCCACCGCATTAAAAAGCCACTAACCAGGACATGGGGGCGGGGGCGTGGCACCGTTCAACCTGTCATAACGATCGGCGGTCGTGTAGTTTTCAAATTTATTGCCGACACGCAATTCTACGCCCCCGAAGGCGAGAAGTACACACCGCAAAACATAGTGATATGAATTTATTTATTCGCAAATACAACAAAACAGGAAATTGATTTATAATTGGTAAAAATAAAACTAAAAGATGTAAGAAAATGTCTGTGATATATATACGAGTAAAAGCATGAAAAGCCGAACAGTTTTTTTCCGTGCATCGATGGAATGGCAACGTGTTCGCTTGGCATTCATCATGGTTTATTTCAGTTAAGTTCTTTCACTCCAGCAAAGGCAAAGGCCCAGGTGAAGAGAACTGTTTCCCCTGGTAATTGCCGCACTTAAGCGCAACGGTATAACCAGTTCCTCACCCATCTGAGACTCGAAAGCCAGATCCTCCTCTCGGGAGATGTCCATCAGGCAGCTGACCGCAGAAAGGGCACGGCCGTGTCCCCATCTATAGCTCCAAACCCATCCCATTCCATCCACATCCCAATCCCCATCCCCATTCCCAGCACTTTTGTCTCTGCCTCTCTGGCATTTCGTATTAAATCTGCAACTGCCCAGGCACATTCTCTTTTCCCATACCCTTGGATAGGGTTATAGTAATTGTTAATAGACTTAAAATGCTGTGAAGGATTACAAAGGAATACAATAATGAGATTTTGCTTTCCTTTATTTGGGAATAATATACCAAAGTATGCAGTTCTCTGTACGAAGATTAAAGTTAATCACAATTTGGCACACTTTGTCTTAAGTTTACTATAAGATTACCGTACCATACGTATTTTGATTCATTTAAAGGGATATACTCTATATTAATCTGATTGGTAGAAAAGTGTAAAGGAGTTTGAGGTGTAATTCATGAACCGGATTTGGTAAACTGATTTCCAAGAGTATCTCACCCTCGGTGTTGGATGCTCACATTCCCTTCGTGATTTTTATGGTCATGTGCTGTATTTCTTCACGCAGATCGCGTTGCCGATGCAGCCGGGTCAGAATCGCAGGAAGGGGGACTCGAACTTGGGCTGATTGCCGGTTTGCGATAAGACAGCATACCAAAGCCCGAACTCTGATTGTCTTACATATCTAAAAATAGCCGGGGCCTGAAACTGAATCCGAATCTGCAACTGCAACCTGGCACTGGCGCATGCAATCATTAGTGGAAATTTTACCGGCCACTCTCCAGTCCAATGTATATATAGGCATCCAGTCCCCGAGGGGCAATAAAACCAGCCAAATGACGACACGCAGACGCCTAAGAAGCTGCTTCTTCGCCTGCTTCGAGGAGGCATACCAGGTGGAAAGAAGGCGACCGCAAGCAAGGTCGTTCAGCGACCTTCGCAGCCACTTGGATTCGATCCAGTTGGTTGGTTTCCCGTTGAGTGCCGCATTTATGGGCTCGGTCCCTTGGATTCTTGGGGCAGATCAGTAAACAACCGCTGGACATTTATGGAAATGCTGCTCTTAATTGGCCAAATGTGGCTCTATAAAGGCCCTAAACGGCCGCCTTGACTTTGTCACAGGTTCCTTGTCCCCGATCTCAGACTGCCGGTACCAGTTCTTCTTGGGTCTCCAGCTTCCGCGTTTCACTCGGAAGAGTGATAGCCCGGCAGGTTTAAGCTGCCAGGGCATTATCATTATCCCCACACAGAGGAGCTCTTGTCACTGCTTATCTTACAGATCCCTGTACTGCGAGAAAATGCTGATACCAAAATGTCTCAAAGTCAACTTATATCCCGATCCATGGCTTACCTATACAAGTTGTGTTGACGCTCTTCCCTCACATTTGGAGGTACATTCTTCAGGATTGTTTCTCAGTGTAGGTATGCCCGGAACCAACCCTCAGAACTGCGATCCCTTGGCGTCAGCTGTCCTGCTGCTGCTTTGTCACTTGTTCATATCAATTAAAATTTAATGATATTGTCCAGAAAAACGACTCTCCTCGCTGCGCCGCAGGCTGCATGTTTTTAATCAATTTTAAGTGGCTATTTACTTTGCGGATCGGAGGAGCAGAGCCCCCAGGACAACCTGTTTCCCAATCACATCCGTTCCCCGCCCGCTGCGAGATTAATGATTAATGCACAGCTCCGACTTAGTCTCGATGTAATTTAGTTTATTTTACTACACAAGTCACTTAATGCTCTAATTAGGATAGTTTTTCGCTCGTTCTTAATGCTGCTTGGTGCTCGGATTTTATGGCAAGTTGCTAGTTCTGCGGAATTTCGAGTGTGCTGGTCGGCTGAATAAATTAGGCTCGGATTAGAGTTACGGCTACGATTACAATTACAATACCAACAACTACAATAAATTAATTAAAACATTAACTAAACATTAAACAAAATTCGTTTACTGACTAAACACACACTGATCTCGTGGGAACGCAACTAGTGGCTACGTACTAGGGTACATCTACTACAGCTAGGTTTATCTATCTAGGTTTAGGTTATCTAGGCTAACTACAATACGACTTGGATCACATGTGAATGCCTTTGCAGCTGTCTCTTCAGTGGGTGAGTGCGGGGTGCTGTTGTTGTTGTTGTTGTTGTTGACACTCGGAAAAACCATCGCTCTGAACTGAGAAAATCGTAACATTTTTAAGACATTTTTAAATCTTTATGTGGATTTCCCTTTTCCTATTGATCATTATTTTTCTAATCAATACATAATCATTCTCTACTCAATATTTTAGGTTGATGTAAACTTTGTTAAAAAGTTATTTTCTCTACTTTAAGTCTTTGTTTCGAAAATTACATTATCTTATTATAAAAAATATCAAAAACATTTTTAAATATTTTAATAAAATTGTAGAAAAAACTTTCAAACTTAATGATTATTTTCTGTAGTTAAATTTCGATATAACTATACGAATATATCTACCTAAGTTCCTTACTCTTTCCTAACTTTTCCCTGTATTTTCCAAGGACTTTCCTACGCTCTGGCGATTTTCTTCACATCATTTCGAGTGTTTCCCCGAGTGGAAGATGACCATTTGGCCCCTACTTGAGCTTGAGAAACGTGAGCAACGCCTTCTGTATCAGACTGCGATTGATGGTGGAGTCGGCGGTGTAACGCACTCCCCACAAGTTGCCATCGTTGTGGTCCACCACTCCGTACTCGCCGACGATGAAGCCGTCGTCGGTCTTCTCCTCCACCCGGTACTTTCGGTAGTTGCGTCCCTCGACCACGTAGGCGACTTTGTCTTCGTCATCGCCGGTTTCGAGGCCCTGGCCCTCCGATCCTCCATCCCCCGTCGTATCGCCATCGTCATCCGAATAATCGTTGGCATTTGCATTGTAAACCACCGAGCCACGTCCCCTGTTGATGCCACGACTGCTGGCGGTGGTGCTCGATTGGACCGGACCGGCTGGCGTTGTGGCCTGCCCCACTGCACCACCACCGCCGGCAGCACTCCCTGCACCGCCCTGCAGTCCATGGGCCCGTCCGTTTGTCATAACACTAACGGACTCTTCAATTTCGTAATTCTGCTCTGAGGTCGGAGTATAGAGCTCGGGGCGCTCGGTGGTAAAGTGTTGCATTTGCTGGTGCTGCAGATGCGCCTGATGTTGTTTCGCAGACCCAGTGGTGGAGGACGAGGTGGAGGAGGAGGAGGAGCTGGTGGAGCTGGAGCTGTACGAATAGCCACCGCCTGACCCCGAAGATGATGGCGGTGATGGGTCCACCACAGATGCCGCTGCTCCATGCTGGTGTGCAAATTTGGAAACACATTTGACTAGATCTGCGAGGGGAGATGCAACAAAAGATGATGTTTGATAAGTTCAAGATTAGTTGGCCGGGGTTCAAGTGGTTAAACCCGTGCGTTGTCGCTGTCTGTCATAACTACACTGGGCAACAGGGTAGGCATGCGACTATAACTAGGTAAACGATTACCAGGTAGAGAATAATAAGCGATTAAATTACATTGGTCCAGTAAGTGTATCTATTAATTAACCCCAATTTATCCCGACTCTGTTTACTCTGAAACCTGAATCGCTTTTCCTTAAGTGAAACATAATCGTCCGTCAATGCAGGTCATAATAAATGATACACGATTAAACCTGATGGGCCCCGAAAATTGATCTGTTTAATTTATGCATTGCAACACTTGCCCTGCTGCACAGTGTAATTTGTTTAACCAGATTCAGATCCAAAGCTCCGACTTGGACTCACCTCCATTGGGCAATCCTTTGGCATTTTGATTAGAATGTTGATGCGGCGGTGATGAATGCTGACGTTGTTGCTCCCAGCACGGACTGCGATGTTGCTGTTGTGGTTCGTGTTGCTGATGCTGCTGCTGCTGCTGCTGATGTTGCTGGTGGTAGTTGCTCGGACTTGAGTGCTTCGATAAAATTGGCTCCAATGGATGCGGCTGCGGAGCATTCAATAAATCATAAGGCAATTTATCCAAATTGAAGAGAACTCTGCGAGTTGGATGGGCCGGTTGTTGCTGCTGCTGGTGGTTGTAGCTGTGATAATGATGCTGCCAAGTGGTTGGCCTAATGCTGACTGAAGTACTACTACCGGGAGGCTTCACTGTGGTGACCCTGCTGGCCAATGTTGCTGCCGTGCTGCTTGATGTTGCTGCCGTGCTCGCTGGTGTTGCTGCTGTCGTGGTGCTTGTGCTCTTCGCCTCGCCGAAAGCGATGCGCGAGACAATCGCAGGTCGTGGTCTGGATCTTAGTGGGACAAAAGTAGTGGGTGCCAATGGTGGTTTCTCAGTGGTGCTGCTGGTGGTTGAGGAGGAGGAAGTGGTGCTCCCCACTGGTGTTGCTGCCGTCGTGGTCAGTGTTTGTGGCCAATATGTCTTGGCTGGTTCCCCATAAACCTTCGAGGGTTGCGAGTACACTTTTGCTGGCTCCGAGTAAAACTTGGAGGGTTGACCGTAAACTTTCGAGGGCTCTGAGTACACCTTCTCCGGCTGACCATACATCTTGGCTGGCTCCGAGTAAACCTTTGCTGGTTCTGAGTAGAACTTACTGGGCACACTGTACATCTTCGATGGAACTGAGTAAAACTTGGCCGGTTCCGAGGAGTGGCCGTGTTTCAGGCTCTCGCTCACATTTCTCTGGGCCTCCGCTAGGATTCCACTTCTCGACTGCTGCCAGGTCTGCAAATCATCCACGTTTTGGGAGATGGAACTGTAAGATATCGACCTGGACTGAGGTCCTCTGCCCTGCTTGGTGTCATGATAAATCACTGTCTGAAAGGGTAAGCCCGCTCCGGCTGCTGTTCCCACTCCAGTCTCTTCCTCGGCAGCCCCACTTTGGTTTTTCAGGAAGGAATGTGTAGAGGAAGCTGCCAGTAAAGGAGCAGCCAGTACACTTTGTATGTTGGAGGCACTGTTAAGGGAATCGCCCTCGCTGTCCATGGAGTCCCCTGCCAATCTGGGCTCCGTTTCCTCTATGGAGAGTTCACTTTTATGGGATCGGTTCACGAAATCTGTTCCACTTCCCGTGGTACCAGAAGAACTGCTCCTCGAGGGACCTCTTTTGCTGGAGGAGCTGACACTCACGGCCACCACCTTGACCTCGTCACTGGACTTGCCTTTGGCTGCATTTGGAGCATCTTCCAGGAACACTATTTTACTACCTGAGGTCACCAGTTTGGCCACCTGCTTGGAGTCGGATTGCTCAACATCCGGAGTGTTTCCGGAAGTCAGAGAATTCCTGTACCGATTTCTGCCGATATCCAAGCTTCTTCCAGTCGCTGTTCTCTGGCGAGGTTTTGGGGATGAGGACGGCGACTCCGCTCTGCCCTCGAAATCCTGTTCACTGCTGTGGAGACTTCGTTGCTGGTCATCATGGTCGAGGAACAGCTTGAGGAACTCGTTGCCCGCGATGAGCTCACTCTGCCGGCCGCCAGGTAGAGGGGCGGGGCGTGTCCGGCAGCCGGACAGCATCTGAAATGTCAGAGATAAAGGAGTGTTAGCTATGCTCGACATTTCCCTTGATTCAGGTTTTACTTAAATGCTACGCCAGGTGAGAGCATCGACACTTGGAACTGAATTCGCCATAAAGTAAATGATTTAAGAGTTACATTTCAGAGATTTATTTGAGTTTCGTGAATTTGAGTATTAACCCAAGTAGAACAGAGAGCTTATTTCCAACTGCAACAGGGGTGATCGCATTTAGAGCTTATCTCAGCGATCTATTTATAAATTTGCGTAATTAAAATATCATTTGTATCGATCGGCGATCCACATGAGCCGAGATATGTCTTCATGTCGCTGGCAAATATGCAAAAGTCATGCAGTGGACGACCGAGATCTGGACTTTAACTCAATGGCATTTGAATAATAATGCGGCGGGTCTATTAAGACATCAGAGGAATGCTGCGGTACTCCGTTTGAAGTGGTGCATGTAGCTGGAGTCCCTAGTCAAGTGGCGAATGTGGCATAATTAACCGCGTTGCAAGTGATCAAGTGGGTGGCGTAAGGTAGCGAAAACACCAATCGAACAAACAGCCCCAGCCGGGGGATATGGATTGCCCAATGGGCGAATGGAACCCGCTCCGCTGGAGTGGAAAATGGAAACACTACTTAAGCGCTGCCGGTCAATATGTCACTCAGCGTCATTTAGATATTTATGTTCCTACCGATTTACATGCATTTCACTGACTCATCAAGTGATTTATCAACCTGTTTCCAGTTGAGGAAGTGAATTTCCCAACTTGAAGGCCAAGTTTTTAAGGGTATTATGTTTCGGTTGTCCTTTTCGATGACTAAAGGTGGCTTAAGGATGAATAATATTCAGTTATCCATTCTTTGAATTGAGTCATATAATAACTTAATACCTTTATAAAATTGATTTAAGTATAAAACTCAGCCTAAACCTTCCTTGAAAGACCCACTCTTACCGCCTTTCAATCCACCAATAATTCAAATTTAATGCACCATTAAATTGTTTTATTAGCAAGGCAATCTACATCCATATCTTGGCACAACACTGTTCCCAACACTCCACTGCGAATTCATGGCCAGAGATCGGCCATAAATTGTTATCAGCGCCACACACCCACCGCAGAAACAAAAGACTTAGGGCACGAACTCGCCCTGCCAAATGCCCCGCCGATCAAACCGAGCCAATAAAGCATATTTATGGATATTTATCGATCGCCATAAGTATTAGCATTGCTAATTGCAACGAGGCAGATCATTTACTAGCCAACACTTTTGATCCATTGACGCGAATTGGAAAGGCGCAAATTGAAAACAATGAAAAATGGCGAAAATTGATTCAAATATTAATGGAAACCGATCGCTGCGGCTAACATAATAGCATAATTATTCAACTTGTTTGTATATACAGAGCTCTTTTTTTCTATATAATACTTTTTAATGTGTGTTTATATCCCCCTGAGCAAGAACAATAACAACATCCGGCAGTGCAGTGGGCGCCTGTCGCCGAGCATTTTCTAGAGCAGATTTGAGCGAACACCTTCGCACATGTGCTAAAGTTACCAACCAACCAACCAACCGACCAAGTAACCAGCTAACCAACCCAACTGAGTGACTGACCAACCAGTTACTATATTACTATAATATCACCAGATCACCAGTTAGTCATCCGGCGGGTCGCCTTGCCTTTTATGTCTAAAATTGCAGAAGTAACCTACCGCGGGCGTTGAATGGAAAAGCGACAGTTAGCATTGACACCAAATCAACGGCCCAGGGAGCGAATTATCCGAGTGACAATTACAGAAGGGCCAACTATTTGGTTTCGCCCTAAGACAAAGGAAAAACGTTCTAAAAATACCAAACCGAATGGAACAATGCGAATTCCTTTCCATTGTGGAGTTATTTAAAACGCCTGGTCAGTGACGTGCTCCAGTTTAATGAATGAATTGGGTAATGGGTAATGGGGTAATGGGTAATGGGTAAGGGGTAATGGGTTCCTTCAACCAGGCCCGAATGATAAGCAATTATTAATCTTGATTGATTTATCAGGTAGCTAATCCTGTTTCGACATTCTTTTGCACTTTGCCTGTTGAATTCAACCATTTATCATTCGATTGTGCGACTATTTTGGAGACAATTTTCACGGCTGTCAACTTAGCGGAAGTGTCAAAAAAAGTCAACTTTCAGAATATCACGTATCCGCCTTGTGTGCGCGTGAATAGACAGCAAACAATTAAGCAATAATCACGCCTTAATGAGCACTCTCTTTATTGAGATCATTTGGCCCACTCGATTGGCTTTCAAGTGCCGCTGATGCTGCCATTCGATACTCTGAATACTCGATACCCGATGCTTTAATTAGCCACAATCATCGTGATTTCAGTTTTTACGCCTGACACTAAACAAACGCCACGGGTTGACAGATTGAATTCATGTTTGCGTTATGCAAATTTCGGAAGTATTTTGATTGATAGGGGGGCTACATGGCGGTGGACTATGTAAACAGGATTTGGAGAGGGGCCAGTGACTCAGGCCACGAACTATGATATCGAATGCGGAAAAAGTCATGTAACCCGCCATTTCTGGCCTCTCTGCATATTTCGAGTGCTGTCCGCGGGCAGTTTGTGCTAGAAGTGGGCGGTTTTCCAAGGAGCAGCCACCGTTGCGATTGCAGCCAAACAGTCGGTGGCCAAGTGAATGTGTCAGCGGGTCCATTTTCCCCATAAACCCAGCCTAAACTGCCCGGCCAAAGTCTAATCTCTGGTAGCAGACATCAGACATTCGCTGGTCTTTAGCCACCACCCGCTGTCGTCAGCTGTGGAACACATTGTGTGCACAATATTACAAGCTAACGCCGGCGGAGGTTGGTACACTGCGGAAAAACTTTGATGCCAAACTTATTCCGAGGACATTCAATCTACTCTAAGGCAATCAAACAGCATGTCTAGAGAGTATATTCTGGCTTATTTACTTAAAATAAAGTTAAAATATAGTAATCAAAAGTTTCCTTAGTGTACTTATCAGCCTATCGATCTCCCAGCCAAGTGCAGCCCACATTAGGGCCGTTCTCAATGCCACAAGTTGGGGCAGAGTCAAAATCGGACTCCAGTTCGAATGCAAGTCGATCCAAATTGCAGCTTGCAACCTGGGCTGAGGCACAATAACACACATTTATTAATTACACGGCAGAGACACAAACTGTAAACGGACTTGTGGAAATTAACCCATGCTGGCCCCAGAACATTTAGGTGTAACCCAAAACCATAAATGAGACTGTTTATTTGATGAATACCCGTGTAACTTAAGACTCGGATGTGCCTCGGTGGGTTAATAATGGCTTATGATCGAAAGAAAATCCGAGATTAGAATGTAGTTGCACCACTGCCCCACAACCACTCCCTGCCCCGCCGTGCATAATTTGCAAATTGCCGTCGTCATCGCCATTGAATGGCCAAAAGACAAAGTCTGAGTTCCAGCCACAAACAGAGCAGAGTTAGAGCCACAAAACAGAGGCAACCCCACCGTCAGTTGCACATGAAAATGAACACTCGCAGAAAAGGTTTTACAAATTAAGAGCAGAGATTTCTTAGTTCGGAACTAAAGTCTTTCTAATTGGAAATAGTTTAAGATTTTACATTCATAAAACGATACTACTAAGGTTTTCTGATTTCGCCACACAGCTCTTTTATTATGTGTCAACTTTCCGTACTTAATTGGGATATATTTTTCTGAGTATAGTGTATAGTATGGTAAAGCTAAGCAACTGCAGTTAAATCGCGTGCAATTATTTAGTTTACTCGGCTTCAGTGTGCCTTACTCCGCTCCACATTACTCACAATCAACTCGGTCTGTCTAATGAGCAGTCAATAAAGTGCCGGCCAGACACAAAAGCGAGTGTGTGGTAAAATTAATTCCAAATGCATTTGCTACCCAGCCAGCCAGCCAGCCAGCCAGCCAGCGAACCAGCAGAATTATAGATGATTTGGGCCAATAAAAACGAAGTCGGCAAACAAATGGAGTGCGATCGCACCATTAAACCATTTTTCAAAACGCATTGGCCAAGTTAATGGAGCTACGCCTGTGAATGCATTTGGCAATTGCATTTCTGTGCCTGGGAATTGCTGGCCATAAAGATGAGGTCTCAATTGGCCTCAAGAGTTTGCTTTTCGGCTTAACTGGGTGCCATTTGAATCAATTTTGTTTGATTGTTAACTCGAAATCGAAATCGAAATCGGAATCGTGTGGAAGGAAAACGAAACTTTCCAAGTTGAAGATCAGATAATTTGATTGATTGCCTTCCTCTGTGATGAAATGGAAATGAGTTCATCAGCTACTCTTGAAGTGCTCTTACTGCATTTATCACCTTTGTTAATTAAGTACTTTGAAATTGGTTTTACTTTTATTTTAAGATCAGAATTCAATAGCCATTTATAGAAGAAATACTAAACTTACAGCGATTTATCTTTCCCTTTCAAACAAAACATTTAAGCCATTTGAAAAACAATTACTAGATCGCTTTTGGAAGTGCCAAGAATAGAATGTTAACTAGTTTAATTTAGCAGCTTAAATGACCAAAACCAAGCCTTGAACTTAAGCTTTGCTCTGTCCGAAAAGCGAGTTCCCTGGAATTCTTCGAGCACCTGGCCATAAATAAGTTAATACCAAGCTAATGGGACACTTACCAGCAGCAGAAAACCGAATCTGAGGAGCCAGCAAAAGTGTGCCATTCCGCTTTCGGTTTAATCCACCTGTCCAGCTGTTAATCAAGCGCTTTAGTGCTTCTTTTGTTCTCAGTGCTTAGAGGGGATCTCTGTCCTGGGTCTCCTCAGTGATTCATGGGGCCGCTTTTGACCAGCAGCTGCTCGGCGATCATTCTGGCCAGTGTCTCTCGGAATTTGGTTAATGGCTGCAATTAGGGTAGACAAGAAGCGGTAATTAGTGGATAGGTTTCCGAGATCGACTCCCATTAAAAATATTTGGCAAACGTTTAGCGAATCGCGGGACGAGAACAAATTCATTGCGTTCAATCGATAAGCCATGGGAAAAATCCACGCCAAATGTCAAGGTGCATTTCACACCGCAGATCGCCGAGAGTCGGAGGCACTTGCAGCTAATTTTAAGAGTCTCGCCGGATTCCACCTGAGTTGCCTGAATACACTCAGAGAATACGTACACTTGATTTCTCAATTTCAAAAGTTCACATGAAACCACTAATCTGAAGGGTCCACAAGCCAAACGCAATCTGTATATGGGTCTTCCGTTGGGCTGAGCTTTCAAGTTCAAAGACTCTTAAGGGTTGTAGTTTTTCTTTGGGTGTAGAAGAATCATTGAACTTGTATTGGCAACAGGTTGGCAACAACAACAGCAATAGCAAAAACAACTAACAAGATCTAGCAACTCCAAGAAGCGGCCAACAAGTTGCAGAGTCTGGCCACAAACAGAGCCGAGAGCCAAGAGCCAAGAGCCAAGCCCAAAACCCAAAACCCAAACCAAAACTGAAACTGAAACCCCAGACAGATGCTCAGTCGTCTGTTGCAATTTCAACATATTTATAATTAATGGCAAGGTATTTTGATAGCTTTTTGTTGCCAGCAATTGGCATGCCATTGAAGTGGGTACCGAGACTTGGCCGGAGTTGCTGCAATCGATGGCTGAAGATCCGCGGTGATGAGTTTGATTTGGCCAGCCATAATTTAATTAACCGTTCTCAGGCATTTCCGCCACTCGGAGACCATGTAATTAAACTCCAGCCAAAGTCAAATCCATAAAAAATCATATTTCTTTTAGCCAGAAACATAGCAAAAACAACAAAAACAAAAGCTAGACAAAAGCCGAAAGAAAGAAAGAGACGCAGGCGAAAACCAGTTCTAATTTTTATCAAGCCTTCTTCACAGGCCATATAATTACTCATGGCCCTCTCCAGCTATTTTTTAGTTATTTTTTACCAGACAGCATTTAATTATTAAGGAATCTGCGGGGAAAACAAATATGTTTACGGCGGCCAGCAGGCATCGCATTAAAAACGAAAGTTTCGTTCTTAGCCAAGCCAGGGGTCATTAATTAGCCAAAGTCATATGGAAATGCCAGAACCTCCCATTTAAGCCGGCATCCATTATACCTCATTCTGTTCTGCTCTATTCCAAGCTCCGTCTGACGTCATCTCCATTTCTTTTGTCTCGTTGGCAGATGTTCATCATTAGGCTGTTCTGTGAGTTCCTTGGCCTTTCCAGTCTCTTGTAAGCCTTATAGGAAAGTAAAAGTTCTGACGTCCGTGGCTTTGTTCACACATTCATTATCCGCTGTTAGTGGCTCTAACTTACAGCTAGTCTATAACTATCAAGCTGCACCCATAATTGTCATAGGAATTGCAATCGGAATCGGAATATGTTCTAGTTCTAGCTTCAGCTGGGAGCAGGTATCTCGGACGACCACTTGGGTTAAGGCCGAAAACAACTGCAGGGGAGTACAGAGAGCCTAGAATACTCTTTCGCCTTATTATTTATTTAATATCTTTGTTAAACCGCAATGAATTGTGTTCTTGGAAACAATGTTCTTGGGGAGAAACGAGTTTTGTGGTTTCAGAACTTGTTGTTGATCATTTGGAAGATTTGGAAGATCTTTAAAATTTCAGAGTTAATGATGGGTTCATAGACTGTCTTTAGAAGGTGAGAGGTTATGGTTTGTAGAGTCCTATTTTTAGTTCAAAGTTTAGGGGCTTCACTATTCCCATTAGTTGCTGGATCTTGAAATTCCGCATAAACTTACTGCCAGCAATTACAGATCTCCCTTCTTTGGTAGTGCAGCAACCGCAAGTTGGTCTTGAAATATTAATGGAATAATCGCACTCGCACTCGTGAATGCCCATTGGCGTTACTAAATTTGCGTCGCGCTCACACTCTCGGGCAGTTAGTATATAAATTAGAATGCTAATCGATAGTTATGGGTACGCCCTGAAAACAGAGCTCGGGGAACTGGCAGAGCACAGATCGCTGATCGCAGATCGCTGGCCGGCGAGGTGAGAACGGTGGACAATGGCAACTGACAGATTCCGGTTAATAAACTTGATTTAAAACCAGAAGTGAACACTGCGGGCAAAAGGTAATGGCAAATAAATTGCCACTAAGTACACACACAATGCATGGCCGTACAAATGACACAAAACAGACAAAAATGTGTAACAAATGGACAGACGTGGCCCGCACCCGCAATTCACTCCGACTTAGATTCCAATTCCAATTCCGATTCAGATTCAGACGGGGACGAGACAAGTGCTGGACCCTGTGACAAATTGTCAAACATTCGCATTCTCATACCTCTCACACCTCTCAGAAACTGTCGCGCGAAGACTGCAATTCATTAACAATTGGAGTGGAGTTGATTCGAGTTCAGTTCGATTGGGTTGGGTTGAGGGACGGACAGGCTCAAAGCCAAAAAGGTAAAAAAAGGGAGAGGCCACACGTCGTATGCGCTATTTTGTCATCAGCCAAAGGCGAAGAAGAAGGAAAATGTTATATGGAATTGTGAATTCTACAGATGGCCAGACCTGTGTATAAGGCTGATATAAAAATGAATAAAAAAATATAGATTTAGAGAGAACTGTTGTGGTAAAAAGTTGAAGTAATTTCAAGGATTTTGAGGCAGAGACTTATCTTTTCTAGACATTCAATTTCCTCCCCAACAAATCAGGAAGAGTAGAGTTTGAGAACGTACCTTACAAAAATAGGAAAGCAAATTAAAAAACCCATTTAACATTTCAGATTAACAACAAATACTAAACTACCCTCTTCAAGGGTATGAAAAAGCAATCACAAAGTCAATGCAAAAGCCAAAACTCTGCCAAAGTCACAAAACACATTCGAGCGAGCTCTAATTGGAGCGTTTTCTGTTTGTGTTGTGTTTATATTTCCATGGAATTTCTAAGAGTTTATTGCACTCGTCGCTGTTTTGGCCATTTGTCATCGCATTGTTGCGGCCAAAACCGAAACTACGGCTAAAATAGTGCAATCCCAACCAGTTTGTTTATCTTTCGCAGGTCGCGCGACTTTGAGGCGTTTTGTCAGCGTTTTTGCCACTGGTTTCGTTTTTTTTTATTATTTTTTTGTTTTTGCCCCAGCATATAATTTGTTAATTTAACTTTTTGCAGCCTTTAATTGTTTTGGCCAAAGCTCAGCGACTAACAGCTACTGCAGGCAGTTTGCGCTGCAATTACGCTCTTAATAATAATTTTGTTTAAAAAATGTTGAACGGTTTGGCAACGCTTCCACTTTTGCAATCTGGCTCAGAATGTGGGGGCCATTGGATTATAGAGATTAGCGAAGTGGCTCTTTGATTGATTAAGGGTCGGGCTAAGGCTGCCAAAATGTAATGAACTGACAATTATTTAATGGGAATTGCAATTACTTTGTGAAGTAATTACAAAAAGAAAACATCGAATCTTGTTCAATGTTGATGGAGTCATTACCTTAAATATTTAGTTTACTTATTAATAACGATCAGTTAAAGCAGCAAATAGCTCTAAACATGTTGGTTATCATACAATATTGAGCTGTGTTATTATGATGAAATGAATAAAATATATCAAATCAGCTTTTATATTTATTATTTAAACAAATAAAAGGTAAGCTGCATTACGTTTATTGCTTAATTGATTGATTTATTAGATTTTCTCAAATATAAACAAGATTAATCTAGCCCGTTTATACGGTCATTAAGCTGAGGTATTAGTCCAAACAAGTCGTTAATCGAATGTGCTCTAATTTAAAGCATTTTGGAAACTGATATGGCTGAGCTGCGAACGTGTTCTGCACCCTGTTGAGATTCTATTGATTGGATTGAAATTAAATTATGAACTTCAGTACTCGGCCCATTCGAAATATGATCGTAAATTATGCTGCTAAATTGCTGCCATAAATTTTCCTTCAAACAATCCATTGCTCACAATTACTGCCCTTGGATGGATACTGAGGCTTTTCCTTGGCATTCAGCTGGCAGCTGGCAGCGGACTTTCAATCTGACAAATCTGAAATTAATTCACTCCGCGGCGCTTTAATTTTGTTTCGAACTTTGTGTCTGAATGCCAGGTGGGACAGTGGGTCACTAAATCAACGCTCAATTACAGGCGAACCGTTAATTATTGCAGTAGGTCCGCGGTAAGCAGGGCGTCTAAAAATAATGAGATATATGGGCCATTAAAGTCTCGTTTGTCGATCGCCCGATGCAGAGATATGGATCTGCCTGCGAAATAAATTAATGCCTTAATCCACGCCTGTCCATCACAGATCAGTAATACAATCCGCACAAAGGGAACAAACACTTTTTCACTCGGTCTCTCGGCCTGCTTTGTATCTCATTTCGGGAGCCCAAACACTAATGCACTTGCATGCCAATTGACTGACTCACACCGATAGACTTTCATCCGTGACCTTGAGGCGACTGGCCGACATATCTCTCCCAACCTGGCCCGCCCTCTGCACGCCGCCTTTCCGCCCGATTTCCACAATCCGAAGACAAATCCACTTTATGGCCAAAACGAAAACAAAAACAATAACAAAGCCCGCACGTTGAGCAAGGCAGCAGGCCAAAAACAAAAACCAAAAAAAAATAAAATACACCGAAAATGCAGAAAAAACTGTAACAAAAAATTAAAACACAGCAGCAAAAAATTTGAGTAACAAGCCGACTGCAAAACAAACGAAAAGCGACCAAAAAAATATGGCAAAAAGGGGGAGGAAAATCCTAAAAACATAAAAACGCGTTTGCGCATAAAAACGCTTTGGTTTTGGCCAATTTTAGCCATTCGGCTATATATACACTTTGGGATCTTATTCCTGCACAGGGAGAATGGTTTGGGATCAACGGAAACGAGATTAAAAGTGAATTTACATTTTACATTTTACATTTCTTAATTTAAATATTTTATGAATTACTACAGGTCTTAAATTAATTTAAAATTTTAAAAATCAAACTTCAACAAAGTTAACATAAGTGAAATTCTATCACAAGAACTATTTTAAAATATTTTCTTGGTAGAAGAACAACTCGAAAGGTTATTTTATGAATTTGATTAAAAATCACATAAATTAATCAGATTAACATGTCGTTAATACAAATTGTAGTTTTTATGATACCAAAAACATTTTTTCGCTGTGTGGCATATTATTAACCGTTACTTTTTTTACCAAACCCGCCGAGCTTACCAATAATGCACCCACCACATTTATAGTTGTTACTGGCTTTTAATCCCTCGTTGTCGTTGTTGTTGGATTTGATTGTTAAGCTTTCTATATTTACGGACTGTTGTTGTTTTCAGTTTCAGTTTCAGATTCAGACTCAGTTTTTGTTCAATGCAATTGTTGCTAAGCCGTTTCTCAAATTGGAGCAATATTGGCGCGAGCTTTGAACGGATTTCGCGGACTGCGATTTGTTTATGGCTCTTTCAAAAGTTGTTTCCTTCGTTTTCGCGAGTTTAATATATTTTGTTTTTATTTGGGCTTACTTATATTGAATGGATTAAGGCACACACTAAAGACACACACTGGCACGCACACACAGACACACACTCTGAAAACTCTGTATTTAACTGACTTGGTCGAAAGGGGCCTTTGAGTCTCTAAGTCCTTGATTTTGGAACGGTCCTTAAATAGGTTTTCAGCTGTGTTGGTCGTGGCTTTTGTTTTCTCGACTCGAAAAGGCTCTCTTCGAGGCCTAAGAAAGAGAGGGGAGAAGGGTGGGGCCACTGCAGAGGTACTGCCTAACTGAAAAAGATACTTTCACGACCAGAAACACGTAGTGTTTGTATTTAGGAAAACCTCGGAAAGTCTCTCGAGCGCCGCGCTTGCGTCCGTTTGGCTACAGCGTCCACAATTAACTGAATTCCCACAGCGATCAGAAACTGATAAGTCGCCCAAGAAGCCAGCCTGAAAAGCTCCGAGAGCGGCCAACTCGACTGGGCTCAAACCCCAAGTTTCAGCCACATTCACAGCAGAACGCAGCCAAGTGCCAAGGCAAAAACACGAAAGGCAAAGCAAAAGCCCAACTACAGCAGGCAGGCAGCCCGATTTGCAGAACAAACGGCAAAACACAGCTGCCAGCAAACAAAATCAGCCAGCAAACAAATCGTGGCCGAAAGTCGGACTCTCTGGCTGATTTTGTGCTCGCCAAGATTCGCACATTTTGATGGCTTGTTTTGATCAAAAGCCAAGCTTACTGTCCACGCCATTTGACTTAAACTAATGATTAAGACCAAACCTCCATCACTTCCCTATCACTATTTTGTGGGTAAATTGCTCAAACTAGAAAGATATTTGTGTTAAACTAACTTACCAGTTTGCTCTATATATTTATATTATTTAATATATTTTAATCTGTAATAATCACTAAAAAAATTAATTATAAATGAAGAAATATTAGTATTTACATGACACCCAAAGCTTACCTTCATTTACACAAAAATCTTACACGTAAATAAGCTTACGTTACGTTAACGTTAGTAAAGACACAAACCAATCCGAAGCAGTGGTGCTCTTTAAGCCATTTAAAACGTTTTATGTTTGCTGCTTAAATGCAGATCGAGGGACTTTCTGCAACTCATCGCTTTTGGAATAACCGGGATAAGCATTCTAATAGTAATATAAAGCTACTGACTTAACTGACCAATGATGAAAATGTTTCAAGACCACCAACTAAGCTAAAGCATAGATGAAAAAGTAGCCAAGGCGCTACTCGCCCACCCTTCTCTTTCGCTAGAGTTAAACTAGATTACCACTGGTTTTACTAATTATGAAATGTTTATTTTATATGCCATATTCATTTACAATAATATTTACACTTTAAGCGGTACAAAATGCGATATTTCAAAGTAAACCACAACATATTGGCTAACAATCGGAAAGCGGGTGGCTAGCTACGTAGATTGACTACAGATACAGATGGTTAAGCAGAGGCTTATCACAAAAAAGAAAAAAAGGAGTATACTGTACAGGCGGGTCTGGGTCACAAATCTCTAGCAGATTACAATTTCTAGTGATCGTTTGATCTGAGGCCGATATCCGGAGATCAGACCAATTAGAACATCCAATTGTCGAATTTCCCGCGGCGATTTTGCTTGCTGTATTAGAAAAGAGATTGTATCAAAAAGGTTAGTTTGTTATCCGGGCTAAGATATGTGGATTCTCTAACGCTATCTATCTATATCAGTCGTTTAGAAGAAATTAGGAAAACAAAATCACATCGAAATAAGAAAATAAAAAACATTCAGAAACATTGAATTATTTATTTGCATTATTTATTGGTATTGCTTAAGTTTTAGGCATCATCATCATCATCATTATCAACTCCATCGAACTTTGTATGTTTCTCTCTCGTTTAGTATATAGTTTATAGTACAGTTTACTCATAACTTTAATACATCTTTAAAAAATAATCATAAATCGTATAAACAAAACAAATCGCAATCGAAAGCAGCTAAAAGAAATCACACTCTTCTGACTGCACTTTTCGGAATGTACGAGTGTATAAAAAATACTTATCGAAATTATCAGATATCAGATATACAGGGGCGAATACAAGGTAATATAGCGAAAAACTAAACGGTTTTGGCATGCAAAAACGAGTGATCGCTAGCGGTTTGGATAGATCATTCTGGTGTGTAAGTACAGAACACAGAGTACAGATATTTGGGATTGTCTTGGGTTCGGTCTACTCTACTACGTTCTACGTTTCTAGGCCTGGGTATTGTAGAGTTCAGCACTCGCTAGAAATCAAGGACTCAAAAGCTAGCTAAAAGGCGGTTCTAACTAGGCTCAAACTTGCGTCACGCACTGCGCGTATTTGTCCAGTTCGCTCCTTAAAATCTTGACGCGCTCGGCCTCGGACTTCAGGGCATTTACCAGCTCCTCGATGGTTCGCTGTTGGTTTAGCACTAGTCCTTCTAGTTTATCCACCCGCTGCTCCAGCTGGGTCACCCTGGAGGCACCAGCATCCTGATGGTTATTCAGTTGGCTGGAGGGCTTATCCTCCTGGGACTGCGAGCTGCTGGCGTTGGAGCTCTTTACTAGAGGTGAAACACTTCGTTGATTTCGAATGGCCAGACTATTGGGCCTTGTGGCTCTTGTCTCCTCATCGCTGCTGGCTGCTTGGACCTTGGCAGCTGTCAAACTGCGGGACATGATGGCATCGTTGGTGGTGGTACTAGTGCTACTCGTGGTCACCGAACTGCTGGTCGTTGAGTTCCCCACAAACATGGAGGATGTCACCGCCGAAGATTGCACTTTCGTTGTGGTACTGCTGCTACTACTGCTGCTAATAGCCTGCTCTCCTGCAAACAGTTTGGAGGTCCTTTCGGCCACTGAAGCTCCTCGGGGCTCCACGCTGGGCGAGGTCTTTTTCCTGGTGACCTGCGAAGCCTTCAGCTCCTCCATCCAGGGCGCCTTTTTCTTCTCCCATTCGCGGGGCTTCGGCTTGGCCAACTGTGGTTCCTCGCCCGTGGAATTATCATCTGAAGTTTTACCTCCTGCACCACCATCTTCACTCAGCTCACTGGCACTTCCCGCTCCTCCGGATCCGCCCATCCCACTGCCATTTACGTATACGGAATTGTTATTGCTCTCTCCCAGGACATTGATTGCCGCCGATGGAGGACGTCTCTTCGGCGCCTTGACCCTTCCTTGTCGCATATCCGTGAGTATCGAAGCACGCTCCACCCGATCGAAATCTGTATCCTCCACAGCTATGGTAGCAGCTCTCCGGATGACCACGTTGCCAGCAGCTCCGGATTCAGGCAGTTGATTAGCACCAGTAAGCATCTTACTAGCCGTAAGACCATCAGCCAAATCGTGCGAGACGGCAGTGGTGAGCTTTCCCTCCGGGTTCTTTTTCTTGCCGCCCAGAAGGTTACCTGCAGTTAAAAGATGAAATATCAGCATGCTTTCAAGAACTTTCAGGGGCCTTTGCTGCAACGCTTTTGAACCGACCACCACGACTACTGAAGCTATTCATTGTGAATGTTTCCCTTATCATTTATCTATCTTTGTTTTTTTAGGACGGAAATAATTGTATTAAGCGGACACGATTGTTCGATTGTTTATCTTTGATGGCCTATTGGGAAATACCTTTTCAGCGTTATTTCCTTGTTTTTACGGTCAAAGAACTTTTTCTTTTCATTATTCAGTGTTCAAAATAAGAAATACCTCAGCTAATCGATTGTTAAGCGAAGCATCGTTAGGCTCTACTGTACAGTACTCACCGGCCACAGGCACTCCACCTGTGGGAGTCTTCTTGAGCGGCACACTCGGCTTCTTGCTGAGCACCGGCGGTGGTGGCGACTTCACCTTCTCGTCCATACTCTCCATGGATTTGCTCACTGAGGAGGAGGTCAATCCTGTGGATATTGTGGTGGCTGAGGAGCTGGTGGCACTGGAGGTACTGCTCCTCTGCTGTCCGATGGCCGCAGCTGCTCCCACGCCAGGCGGCTTGGTCAGATCGAGGTTCTTGTTCTCCAGGGACTTCCTTTGGGCGGCCACATTGCCAGTGGGCAGGCCCGTTTCACTCAGAATGTCGTTCAGGGAGTCGCGGGATCCGAAGCTCTCCTTGCGACCCGCCGACGAAGAAGCAGTGGTGGTGGTGCTGGTAGTGCTATTGCTGCTGCTTCCGGTCTTCTTGATGTACACCTTCGATGTGGTGGAGGAGCTGCCTCCGACCTGATCCTTCTGCTGCTGCGTGGTCACCGAAGTGGTGCTGGAATTGCTAGAGTTCGTTGTGGTCATGTGGCTGGTGGAGTTGGCGGTGCTGCTGATCTTCCTCTGGCTCTGCGCCTGCGTGGTGCTCGGTGGCTCGTTGATCGGTGCAACTGGAAAATGGGTAAACAGAGTCAGAGATTAGATACATTAGCCAGCATTAGCACCTGCGAAACGACATGCAAACATTCAACTTTATTTACCAACAGTATAACTCAGTTAAAACGCACAGCAGTCAAAGGAATTAAGAAAGCTTAAAGAATTTACTGACAAGATACTCTTAACTTACAATGTCTTTAAGGCCTACAAATAAGTTTAATCTGATTATTTATATTTATTATCTCCTAAATTGATTGTTTTGGACCAACTTTTTTCGTGGTATTACTAGTTCATTTGTATCTTATAGCCGATATCTACTGCCATTCAGTAATTCACATTCTGATGAGCTGGTCCATGACTAACCATCTCGGCTCAGAACAGCTGAGCAGAGAAACAACTAGAAACTGGTTTTATGCCGACAACTTGTTGCCAAATGTCAATAAAACTAATGTGGAAACGCTCAGGGAAGCAGCGCTCGTAGTACACAAAAACAAACGAAAACCAAAAATCGAACCAAAACTCAAGTTCGAAGCTGAATCTGAATCCGAGGCGTAGGAGCGGATCAAAGCGGGCTAAAATAACAAACGGCAAGTTGCAGACGTCAACTGAGGGGCATAAATAAACGCCAATAAGTGTCTGCGATGACAAAAGCCAAATCGAACTAAGCCAGGCCAAGACAAACCAAAGCAAACCAAAGCAAAAGAGTGAACGCCAACGGAAAGTATTGAGTAACAACTTAAAATGTGTAAAGGTCAGACCCAAAGAAATGGCAATAGCCAACTGGAAACAGCTATCTGAAGATCAGCCAACGAACTGGAAATGCCCTTTAAAACTTGAATGATTTGTGACTGCGAAACGAAGGCGATTTTATGGATTGGTCATGCACTAAAAGCATTTTTGATGCAATTTTCACAAATGTTAAAGTTTTTAAGGTGATTTTATTTCAAATTAGAATAAGAAAACATTTTAAAAGTATTTCTTTTAAACAATAATAACAGACTCATGCCATAGAATACTTTCATTCGATGCATTCCCTATGAAAATAATTAACTGTCAGAGAATCAAGGTTTATTGATGCTATCAAAGTTTTATCTTTTCTCAAATCCACGAATTTACAAAATTATTTTAGTTATTGAGAGCCGTTAAGCGGACCATAAAATGAAACTTTTAGGAGTCCCCCGTCGATGTCAATAATCAATAAAGGTTGACTGAGGCAATCACCTCTAATTATAATCCCACTTGCTCTGGTGATGTCATATCTATACATCAGACTCTCGATGTTGATTAGTTTTTTTCTCAAAATTTAAGCTCAAGTATGCCCAAATTTAGACACACCCCATCAATCTTTCGATTCCCACGGACAAGCCGATGTACCCGAAGCCCAAATGGTGGTAACCGGCCAAAGAATTGGCTTTGTCATGGTCGAATTTCTAATAAGAGGTGGCCGAAAAGAAAAGCGCCCGGCCCAACGACTTTCACTGCTTTTAATGACAAAACAGAGCAAAGTAAAATGAAATTTGCAATAAAGCAAAAAAAAGAGCACCGCGAAGTTGATATCTTATAGCATTGAGTAATTGAGCGTTGGGTGATTGTCATTATTATGGTGATGGCAGTTGTGGTTTTTGTTATTTTTTGGATTTGCTGCCAATGGCTGTATACACACACACACACATACACTCGCCTTTAGACGCATTAGCACGCACACTTTAACACGGGAAAACGAAAGACTTAAGCAACGAACGCGACTTAATGATGACTTCGAATCCGAGACACGCAGCAAATTATAATCATTAATTTACACCTGACTGACACACAAACCATAATTAGAAAAGCGCGCGCCCAAACCGTTTTTCCCCCGACTCAAGCTGATCCGAAGAAAATGAAGGCAACTTCTTGCCCATGTGGCAGAAAAAACATGACGAATGCAATTGCACTCGAACTGGGTAACAAAAATAAGCAATAAAGAAAGCCGCAAGAACGGGAACTGTAGCGCACGCACCACCAAGAGCCAAGAAAAATGATTACTTCTTTCCGCGCCGACGAAAAATATTTCAATAACGTAAATGGTCAAGAAATCAAAGCCAACTGACTTGGCTAGAAAGGTAAACAAAAACGCTGGCGAAGGTACGAAACAGAAATGTTGAGAGCGGAATGATATTTTTTGTTTGTCTCTCGGCTCCTCTCTGGCAACTTGTTGATAAACTAAAACAAAGGGGGCTTGGCCCCTAAAAAAATGGGGGGGAATCCCAGCTAAACGCCGCTAATGACGATGATCATGATGAAGGTGATCCCCTGTGATGATCAAAGAGACTTCCAGCTAAGAGAGAGCGCAAAACGAAAGAGCCGCCAACCGCAAAGAGCCACGTTAAATCGGAATAAAGGTAGCACAAAAACCAGTTACGGCCAACTGTTGTTTATTTTAATGATGTTGCTGCTGCTCAAGTGTCGAAGGCGGCCGCCTGAAAAACTGCGACGTTGACAAAAGCAAAAGCCAAAGCAGAAACTAAATGCCAAGCATAAATTTTGCAAAACTCAAAACCAGCAACGCTGGAATTCCGCTGGCGACCGCAAAGTATGCTGCGAAATAATTTGTATTAATTAAGTATAATATTTCAACTTTTCCCAAACAACAAATTGCCAGGAGTTCGAGCAATGCGGGGAAAACTCTTTTTTTTCGCAGAAACTGCACAAACAAAACAAACAAGTTTTCCGGTCACCCATGCAAATGACAAAACAAACTCTTCGCCATTCAAACAAACAAACATGCACCGCAAATTGAAAAGAAAAACCGATCGTAAACAAAGCGCTTTGATTCGGTTTGCCATGCCACAAAAACGCTCCCCCTTCTGCCACGCCCACCCCCTGGATGCAGCCTCTTCTTTTCTACGCCTGTGGCATTGCAAAATCCAAAGAAAGGCAAATAAATAAACCAATGCAGCGGAGGATTAAAGATGCAGCCAAACTAAAGTTATTTCATAACAAATTATGGATACCCTACAAAAACCATACATCTGATAGATTTCTGGTATAATATGTATCAAATATGTTTTTGGTATTTCAAGATTGATAATAGATATTTATAATATTTTATAAGTTGGCGAGATAGTGTTTGATGTACCTCATGAACAAAAAAGATAGTGCTTTTGGAACAGTGATGAATATTTTAAGTACGTAAATATTTTATATACTTCTTTTCAGGTTTAATAACAATATATTTCCAACAGAAAGTAACTTTTACAAACTGCATAACAAACAACTCATCAATATACCCTCCATCAACGCAATGGACTACTCAACTAAGCAAATCATAAATCATAGAAATTATGAGCCAAGAAGGAAGAGGGGCGTTCAAAGCCGAACAATTTTCCATTTCATATAAAAAACGCCTCAAGGAGGCACCAACCAAGCCGACAGAGAAAGGAAAATGAAAAGTGGCCGAAAAAGAAGTAAAGAAAAACAAGAAAAGTCAAGAGCCCAGAGGAAAATCGGGGAGGGAAGAGGGAAGTTGGAGGGGGAGGAGGTTCACTCTGGCTGCGGCTGCCTACTGGAAAAACTCGTTTACATACAAATCGTGGTGATAAAGCTGGCCATACGCGCGCCCAAGAACTCGAAAGAGCCGCCTCGCTGCGTCCGCCGTGGGATGCGGACACCGTCTATAGCTCCGGGACCCATTCCGGACCCGGATCCGGATCCCATTCCGCTTCTGGCACGGGTTCGTGGGCGTGGCAGCGGTGGAGCTGCTGCATTTTGTACCAGTTTTAGTGTTTTAGTGTTGTGTGTTTCAAAGTGTTTGCAGTTTCGTTTATTAAACACCCAAAAATCGTGGAAAATCGTAGTAGAAAGAGAAGTACAAGTAGAATAAAAAGGGAAGGAGAGGAAGAGAAAAGTGTTGAGGAAAATTACAGAGAGAAAGAACAGCGACTCGGAGTCATAATGTACAAAAATGTGAGTGGAAACATAAAACAAGAGATAGAGGTACTAGTAGATAGGAGGAAAGTAAACAAAATTTCCCATAAAAGTCTGGAAACGAAAAGCAAGTCATGAAACTGGGAAAAACGAAATTGGAGATATGGTTTAACCGAAACATATTTGAATGGGTTTATTGAAAAGTGCGTGAGGTGCGTGTAATGGAGGTGATGTATCTGAGGTGCCAGCTATTTAATTGGGAAAACTAGCCATCAAGTGATAAGACCGCGTATCTAAAACTAAGTCCCATTAGCTACTGTCTTCGGATGTCAATGGAGCTGATACTTAAGCCTGCTGACACTGAAAAGTTGTCTTGCAAAAGGCGCCGCATGACAAATCTATTTTCTCTAAAGAAATTAGCTATATATTTTCTACTACAGTTTTATAATCAAATATTTACATCTTTTTACATAGGTATCAGTTTCAGTAATTAGTTTTGTCCTCTGGTAAAAGCCAGACTAACATCTACGCATTAAAAGCCTTGCATTCAAATATAATAAAAAAGCTTGTTAAAAACCTTGAAAATCAACCATTTACGAGGCGCCAATAAAAAGCTTCGAACACAAATCCCTAGTTAAATATAATTCCATTACGCATCGGTGATAAAGTTATCTGATTCATATTCGCCAGCGGCAATTAAGTCATCTACAAATTTCGCAGAGACGATGGAAAACCAACGATCCGAGAGATATGCAGCGAGTGGGGTGGTCGGGGAGGGAGTGGCTTGTGTCTTTTCTTTTAATTAATTCAATTACCAAACAAACGTTTATTGACTTTGATCCCCGCTACGTCACGACAGCCATTTCGAAGTCTAACGACTTGGGTTTTACGTTTTACAGCCGATGCGTTTGGAAAACTGCCTCCAATTAAGAGGGGAAAATGCATTGATGAGAGGTGGAGGCTTTGATGACAACAAACTTGACAGACCGAAATCAAAAATGCGATATGATTGAGCGGGGAAAACCCTGGTGAAAACTCACCTTCCGAGGGTGCCAGCATTTTGACAAAGTTGTCGGGAAAAACGCCCACTTTGCCGCGGATTTCTCCTTTCCACCATCCTTTGTCCGGCAACTCGGTGCTGATCACTGTGATTATGTCGTCCACCTTGAGCTCCAGTTCATCGTCATTCTGCGGGGCGTAGGGGAACTCCACCCGGCAGAATTCCCGCTGGGGCTTGGGTGGCAGCATGGGTACTGCCGTTGCTGTCGCTGTCGCTCCAGATCCCGATCCCGAAGCTATGGCCGCTGTTTCCGCTGGAGCAGAGGTTCCTGCTGCAATTACTCTGCTCTTGGTTGCCTGCTTTGTGGTGGCAGTGGTGCTGGTGCTGATGGTCCCTCCTCCTCCTCCTCCTCCTGCAGTTGATACTGTGGATGTGGCTGCCACATTGGCCACATTCGCCGCCTTGGACGTCAACGACGACGTGGTCACGGTGGCGCCTATTGTCGGTGGCCGTTTGGAGGCCAAAATGGGAGACGGCTCAATATGTTGCACAAAGTTCGATGGGAAGACGCCGACTTTGCTGCGCAGACGACCGCGCCACCAGCCTTCCTCGACCTAAATGAGAAAACAGAGTGGAAGAGCACTGAGTGAAATGAACAGACTGAAACCGAATGTGCTGCACTGAGAGAAAAGAGCGCAAGTTCTTGGGGATTTAGGGAATAATGAAAAGGTAGTAAATCCATTAAGATAGCTATTCTTCTCTTTGTAACTTTTCAACTGATAATAACATTTATATGATATCATTTATGATATAACATTTATTATTAAATGCATATTTTCACTTTGAGTAATCCTAAAGTTCTGAATATGACATTTTGATTGCTCATAAATATTTTATATATTTAATTTTATAACAAAGAAGCATTATAAAACAATGCAAGAAAAGATAAAATTTGAATATTTTATACTTAAAAGAAAGTTTGTCAACCAAGAACTTTTATATAAATCGAATTGAATTTTCTTAGACACTTCCTTTACTCTTTCTCTCAGTGCAGAACGAATTTCAATTTCCATTGGCCCAATAGGTTAAATGGGGGTAGCAAACGCCCCACCACCCCCGTGGCCCTGCGTATACGCACCTCCCCTAGGAATTCAATGACATCACCCACGGCCAGCGTCAGTTCGTCGTCGTTGACTTGTGTGTAACTGTAGATGACTTTGCAGCGGCGATTCGATGTCGCGGATTTGTCCCTGAATTTGGAAGAATGTAAACTCAGATATTGCGTCATTTAAAGTGGTCAAAGTGGACGAACCTCAGTTGGACAGATGTTCCCTCGTCGAGGTGGTCGCCACTGCCAGTGGTCCCATTGCCGTTGCTGCTGATTCCGGCCTCCAGTACCCGGACAAAGTTATCCGGGAACATCCCCGTGACGCCCGAGGTCTTCAGGGTGCCCTGCCACCAGCCGCCGGGCATCTGCTTGATCCGATGGATAATGGCACCTTTCTGGAGATCCAGCTCGTCGGGCTCCTTGGCCGCATATTCGTATTCGACTATTGCACAGACTGAAAGTAAGAATGAGTTGGTTAATATGAGAGAATCCTTACTAATTACTAGTTACTTAAAGCTTAAATTATTGTGGTTAGGCAATATTCAGAGGTATCAGGAGATTTCAAGGAGTAACTCAGTCGCTGAGTTACCCAATTATGGCATACAAAAAGCATGTCATGTTTGTGCAAATATTTACAATAGTATCGGGTTGCGCAACGTTTAACCTACTCTAATGCCCATCCATATACACAGATACACATATATTTAACCCCCTTCTGAAACGTGACATTTGTGTTTTGCTTTTCCCGCTTTTGGTTTGCCGATGCCGCTGAAAAAGTAAAAGTTACATGACACTCCATCTACGGAACGGGAATAACAATTTCTGTCGTGGGCGATGACAAATCACGGATCAAGTTTTGGGATTCCGTCTCCACATCCACATTCACGTCCACTTCCATCCATCAATCAAACAATTTGTCTTATATGGGTCACTGAGTGCTTGGCACTGCGGCACAACAGATATTCCCCGACTATAATTGCAATCTTAGCTTGAATGAAGTCGTCTAGTGCCACTCTGTGATTATCGCTAGACGCAAATAAGTTCATGACTAATCTTACGGACTGAGAAAGCTTACAATATTCTTTAAACTTCATAAAACAAAAGTAGATAATGCAGTACTTTGTTGCTTGATAGACTCATATCTCAACTTAGCTAAGATGTTTTGGTAGATTACATTCTGGATTATCCATGTTCAGCCTCATCGAGCACAGACCATCTACTTCCTTTCTAAATGCAATGCCATTAAGTTTAGACTCTGACTTTCAGTTTCCAATAAACCACTCTCTCCAAATCCACTCTTAATCATCAGCATCCCAAACAGAATACAATTTGTCATGACGCATGCCAAAAGCAATGAGACCATGACTGACTGACATTTTATTAAAAACCAGCATTATAAACTATATTTGCCGAGTCGCAGAAGGCGACAGCTTGAAAATGTAAATTGAAATTTTAAATAGCCACAACGCTGAACTTATTTGGCTTTTGGAGGTTGCTGCCCCCGCACGATTGACTCGGTTTTTATTCATTTCTTGTTTTTCTCGAGTGTTTGGATGCCGTGTCCAATTTTTGATGGCTCGTGTGAGTAATGGAAATACCCTCACGGAAAATGATAAAACTAAGCCAAGCCATCCGCTGTGTTTGTGGTAGGGGAAGAGTATTGAAGCCTCTTCGGGGAACTTAAACACATTGGAAACACTTATTGGCTTAGGCTAAGAAACAGAAAGAAACCCGAAGAGGGCCACAAATAAACAAACAATAAAAATAATAAATTCCTAGGCTACGTGATGTCGTTTATATCGACACTTTTTATATGGGTCAGTTTATGAGGGGAAGTCGCTGTCGTCTAATACCAACTACTCATCAGAACTCGATGAGTAATGTGTGGAGGGAAATGGAAAATTGTCATTGCCTAGCCAACTTTTAATGAGTGTAAAATCAGCCATTGGCGCTGATCGCTTGATGGCATTAAAGCGTCTCGAAGTGCTTTCCATTTTCCGCTCGTTTCGATTTAGCTCTTAACATTTCTTTCAATGACAGCCGTTTCGGGGGGTTTCTTTGGAGGAGATGGGATGGGGCCACCGGCAGCGAAGTGACTGCCAATCGAAATCCAAAGCAGTTTCGTCAAGAGCGAAAAGTTATAATTTCACTCCAATTAACGTCGCAATCGCAGTAGTTTCAGTTCCAAGTCCAGTTCCCGAAGACCGAAGACCGTCTGAGATTCAGATCCGGCGATGAAGTGGCAAAAGTGCTGCAGCAAGGCTACGCAATAACAACAAACGGACGGGCAGACGGGTGGACGGACGGAACCATCAAAGTCTTTAAAGAAAAGCTTGGAAAACGAAATACAGCTGGCGATGACACTCGGATCGTGAGCTCTTAAGCAATAATAGGGACTTAAACACTAAGTTTAAAAGTAATTAATCTGAGTAATGAAAGCTTAAGACTTTGAGTAAAGATTTTTACCTTAATCTCTGTTAAAAGCAATTGAAGTTAATATATTGTTAAATTTAAATGAGTTCTTTTGTTTCTAACATTTAAATTTTGACTTTTAGTGATATTTCGTGACACGCTTCCATCGCCAGCAAGTGCCAATTTGTATCTAGGCCAACGGCAGTCGACTGGCCCATTCGTATCTTGGAATCTTTTTTTATGAGTATCCGAATGGCCAGGTATCTGAGTCTCTCAGTGTCTCAGCCACACTGTTTAACCTACGCGACTGTAAAAGGCAAACAAAACGACAGCCAAATGAACCTTTAATGCGGTTTTTGTTTTTCAAACTTTTTCATCTTCCTCTCCGGCGATTTGCTGCCGCTTTTCTTTGTTTTTCGCTCATGTGCTGGGTACGCCTGAATAACAACAATAACCGACCGCAAAGCGCGCTGAATGGGTCGAAAGAATGGAGGAGAGTGTTGAAAGAGGGCCCAGAATGGGCGGTATGCAGCCGAGAAATGAGCCGCGTCTGGAAAACCTACACTGGAGAAAAAATAATACTTATAATGTCCCAAAAATGTTTACATCAAATCTTTTGAGATCGTGTAAATGGGTAGATACCTTCCGTATGATTCACACTAAAAGTTCCCTCTTGATGTTCCATCAAAATTTACCATTTTTCTATATAAATTTGTTTCCTCTGCACAAAAATGGTGAAAATCGGTTACCAAGTGGTGGAAAGCGAGGAAACGCGCAGCAGAGTCGTGTGAAAAGCCTGATGAAAGAGCCGAGAGCCGACTGGGAAAACCAAATGTGTAAATGTGTCAAAAGCGGAGAAAATCGCATGGCAGCAGCAGCCGCCGACTGCCGCCGACAGAGGGCGTGCTGGTCGTCATGGTCTTGTGGGTGTTTTGGGTTGCATTTCGCCTTGTAACATTATCGTATCTCCGATCATTGTGATATCGGGTTTTGTTGTGAAGTCAGCTTCCCCAATGCCAAACAGCTCATCATGTATGCCATAAAGATATGCAAATCGCTTGCTGGATAGTTAAAAATATGGCGCGAAAACAGGTTAAGGTGTGAGGTGTTTTTTGATCAGGGGAAATGCGATGTAAATATACCCTAAAAGGGGTATGTCTTCTTCATAATCCAGCTCGAAAAACCCTTCACCTTACTTTAATACCACCTAATAAAATGTTTTATAAATATAAATTACACAAACTTGTTCCACAATCTGGAATACCCATACAATGTTCATAAGAATACAAAGTTAAGTAATTTTCAGCTGGCTCTCCGACGTTATAGCTCCTTCCCCTCCAACCCGTCTCATCAACATTCTCCCCCATATACTCGACTACCTAAAGTTCAACTGATGCATCCCAGAGATTACCGAAACGGGTCAGCTCTACATATAACATGTAAAATATAACCTGTAACCGGTTCGGGTGAGCAGCTGCATTTGTTTGCTGTTGGCCAAGGGTGCGGCAAAAGTTCCAAAGTTCCGTTCAAAACAAACACCTCCAAAACACCTTCCCCCGCCAGCTAGCATCACCTTCTGCCTCCCACCATCCGCTTCAGCTTTGAGGTGAGCAAACAAGAACATGCTAATTGGTTTAACTATCGGTTTTGGCTGCCTTTGAATTTCGGTTTTGCTTGGTTTGTCTTCGAGGCACAGAGAAAAAATCTGATAGTGTAACTTAACTTAACTTGAACTTTGTAAAATGTTTAATTAAATTGATGTTTATTAAGAATACTTAAAGAGCAAATAGTACTATTTACTTAATAGAACAAAAGTCGAAAGATAAATGCTAAAATTCAGGACTAACTACCATGCGGAATTCTTTCTTAACCCAATATATGAATGTAATACATAGTTTCTTAACTTTTACCATGATTCCTTAGATTTAAAGATATTTTTCTCAGTGCAGTGATTCCAAAGGTGCGATGTGGATGGTGGGGGAGATGCCATGAACCGTAAACGGTAAATTGCCTTTGCGTGAGTTCGACTTTTAAATATGCAAGTCCCCGAGGTTTCAGGGGGCTTTCGAAGGGGAGAAGCCAACGAAGGGGTTATCCACATGCATAGCTGAGTACTGCGATGGTTCAGTTTGGTGCGGATATAGTGAGTTAATGGAGCCGACGCTGACCTGTCTGCCTGCCTCTTTTCTTTGGGGGCGGGCTGCCAACTGCAAACTGGCGTGACCCGGTTAAAACTTTTATTTGTTATATTTGGGCCAACGAGGGGGCTTAAGTGCTTTCAAGCAGGCACAGCAGTGCTGGATATTGATCGGCAAATGTTTAATTTGAAATTTAATCAGCTCTATAAAAGAATGATAAAAGAAAAAACTAAACTAATATGAAATATTTGATATTCCCTTAGTTTTCTTAGAACTGAAGATTTCACTCTTTTGGTAGCTTTTACTCCGTAAATACATTTCTTATACTCATTGCTTTTCAACCGTGCATGACTGAGCATAAAGAAACACCTTTCCGAGCAGCAGCTGCAGCTTATAAAGGTCTTAGGCCAACCCTCATTATAATTACTTTGTATGCAGGTCAGTCCTTAGCTTCAAAATCAATTCCAGAGCACACGAGAGAATGACAAAAAGTTCAGTCGTTGAGCCAGCAGAAGTCAAAAGTCAATTTGTCCCTGCTCTCCGTTTTTCCTTTTTACGACCTCAGAAAGTAAAAACACAAACACATCCTTGCCAGGCCCAAGCACCCAGGTGACCTTGACTTATGAGCTTTCGCCGGCCCCTGAAGCACTGAAATGAAGGCAATTGCTCAAGTTCAAGGCCGCACATTGCGTGTGAAAGACGGAGGCACTAAACTAATTCGCTTGTCGCCAAATGAGCTGCACTTCAATTGGTTGTAATTGTGGGAATCGCAGAGAACGGAATTATGTTGCCCACATGCTCAAAACTCTCCAGAAACTGACATTTTATGAATCAAAACCAAGTGATAAGCAGGGGGACGCCCTTATCGATGGTGTGGAAAACTGCAGACCGATAAACAATGAGTGGCATTCACATTCGGGTTCGATTAAGTCATGGCCAAAGGTGTCGTCATTAACACGCGTGACTACATGAAAACACTGGAAACTTAAACTTCCGATATCATATTTTGAAATGTAAAATTTGTAAGTTCTCTCAGTGTAACCCTTCTTATCACATTACCTTTATTCAGGCCCTTATTTCATTATCTAAACTATGATAAAGCCAAATAGTTAATATTAGACTAAAAGTTCTTCAGGCAATTTGGATGAGATAAAAAAGGCCAAGAGATGTCATAAATTACTGCCTTCCAAAACGATTAGGAAATGTTTTCAAGTGTAGACCCTCTTATGGGGGAAATCACTTCACCCTTGACCATCATTTGAATGCATTTCCATTTCAATTGAACGCGGCAGCCCAACCGAAGGCAAACGAAGCATGGAAAAGCTGACGAAACGTAAGTTTCAATTGAAATGACCAACCCCCTGCCCCTGCTACTCGTTTTCCCTGTCCGCCCATGTGATTTGTGTGGCAATATGTTGAAGCGATCGCTGCTTGATTCCAAAGAGTTTACGATGGAAAGTGTTTAGGAGCAGAGCAGCCATCCCATTCAGCCATCCATCAGCAATTGCAGCTGATGAGCTGTGCATTAGCCAAATGAAAGGGGGAAAATGTGCAGCTGGAGGTCAAGAGAGTCCAGCTGATTAAAGCGGCTTTTCCGAGGAGTCATACATGTGAGTGATCAACTATTTTTTATGGCTGATCATTAAGAAAATTGATTAAATAAAATATTACAAGCATTAGCTCTTCTTATCAACCAACTATTTTTGTACAGTCGGACAATCTGCATTAGGAAAAGATAAGAAAGCAAGCGACTAAGTTTGGCATATAGTATAAGAAACATATCTAATACCCTTTGTTAGGACTCTCTGTTATTTATGTTCAGCAAGCAAAGAGAAAGAACAGCAAACAATGAAAAAATATTGAGGGTTTAAATTATTTAATCATAATTAATCACATAAGTAAACACAGTAAAAGCTTTAGAATTCTGAGGAATCCACTGCTACTAAATCCACTCAAATTCCATTGGAAGCGAGGCCTTGGAGTTCATTGGGGTCTTATCAGTTCATTGATATGGAATGCTATATAGTTTACCGATGAGCCCGCATATTTCTTCCCAAACATAAAGATAATCGGAATGGGGCCCAAGGCAATCCAAGTAGAATTTCTAGATCGTTGAGCAAACAATTTAGAAACTTGTCATGCATTTTGTTTGTTTGATAGAATCCCCACTCAGGGACGGAAGCATATATCGCAGAGTGAGCGGGAGAGTTCATATCTCTAATTTTCTATTTATTTCCCTTCCCCTTTTTTGATAAGAGAGGCCAGCAAAAGTCTGAGGAATCGTGATAAGATAGGCGAAAAAGCAAGCTAAAATACAATTTTGCCATTCGAATTCGAGGCTGAGTCACCGCAGACACAACTGTTGAATGCACTCGACCAGCGAAAAACGAAAAACAAAAATAAGCTGCGAAAAGTAAATTATTTGCATATCAATAAAGCGGTTCTGTTCGCTTCGCCAGCGACGAAATGCAAACGAAAAATAATTGAAAACAGAATTTAATGTTCTTTCCATTTTTTAAGCATTGTAAATGAACACCCTTGCCACGGCATATCCGGCCATTATTTAAACTTATTTAATATCTCATATTTGGAGGGAAATGAACTTTTCTGTCATACATCAGGTGGCTCAATAGGGTTATCAAAGTAGCGAGTAAACTGAAATCCTCTTTACTAACTTACACAAACTAAAAAGTTTATGGTAAGATTTATCATTTATAGATAACTTTAATATTGACAAATTTTAAGAAGTATTTATGACAATGTACCAAGCAAAAATCAATTAAGTTGAACCTTTAACTTGGAATTTTTATATCTAAGCCTTCCCTAATCAATGACTCTTCCCTAATCAATGACTCATATAGATAGAGTATTCCACCATCGCCAAACTCATGTCCCGAATTCGCGAGTGTCGTGAGCCATTCTGCGAATTAAAAGTGACTCATGAAGTGATCCATCAGGTCTCACAATATGAGGAGCATGAAGAATTTGTAGGCAGAGAAAGAGTTTTATAAGAAGTGGCTAATGGTAATGGGCTGAGTGAGGGCGTGGTCCCCCCGGAGTTCTTCATTAACCCATTCCCAGCCCACGCAAAATGTCATTCCAGAGATCCGGGCGTGGCAAGAGCAATTTATTAAATTGTCAGGAGAGCCTTGGCAGAGGGAGTGTTGGAACCCCCTAGATATGGATATGATAAGAGAAAAACCTAGCGAAATGTGGCAAATAAGAAATCTGATTAAATGTTTTCCTTTGGCGATTCATTTGTGTTGACCATTGATTGCCATTGTTGTCTGTTTTGTGTTTTGTGTGTTGTGTTGGCGTTACATAAACGCCACTCGGAATCACTTAAACAGCAGAAGAAAGCAGCTTTGTTTGGGATGCAAATGTAGCCCGGAATACGAGTGAATGTGTATGGAGAGCTGGCCTCTTCCATTGTCTGTCCAGGTCCCATGGAAATTGTTCATCAAAAGAAATCATCAGTGAAAACTGCTGCGGGTGCGGTGCATATTTTTTAAGGAGGGGCATTCAATCAGCCTCCATTATCAGCCGGCAACATCGGGGAAATGAGGAGTACAAAGACCGGAGCTCTGCTCAGTCTTGGGCCTCCACAAAGAAGCCATAACAAGGTTGAAACGCACATTAAGTTTTATTAATATTGTCTGGTCTCTCCTCTGTAGTTCCTATCGATCCCGGATTATCTCTTTATAGAGCACTGAACAGTAGCCGAAGGGTCAGAAAAGGGTCGGCTTTTGAACCGACTGTAGGAAAATTGTTTATACAAATTCTGTAAATAAAAGCTGAGCTTGGAAAATACAGAAGGAGAGGAAAGTAAAGCGACTATATTTAGATTTTGTTTTGCCACCAAATTCAAGGTTATAAAAATACATTTGCAATTAGCAAGTGGTTCCAAATTGAACATTTCAATAAAAGGTATTCGATAATCTGCATTTGAATGCTATTTTGCAATACCTTAAATAAACATAAAACTGCAGTTGAAAATCTAGAGCATCGACACATATTTGGAATGAATTGTATTTAAATTTAAGACAAAGCTGTCTTTTCGAGGAAGATACTTTTAAATTTAAGCCATTAATCAGCAGCCATTCACGGCGATTTACAAAAGAGTTAGTTAATGTAAGAAACCGCAATGTTTTCATCGGATTTCGCTCTGAATCACAGTTTTTTGCTGACCTGAGAGAGGGAAAATTTCCACTAATTTGCATCGCAGAACATTTGTTCTCCGGTTCCCATTGTGAATTAGAAAAGTTTTCAAGGGGTTAAGGGTGGCGAGGGAGGAGGAGGGCTAACATTAACCCAAGGGGCAGCGAAAATAAAATTGATGGCAACATGAAATCATCAAAACACAGAAATTCTCATTTAAAAGACCTTTTCTTGGGCCAGCCTCTAAAACCGGTTTTCATGTTATTTTGTTTTAACCTTTATTATTATTTGTTTGTTAACCAACTTTTGGTTTATTGCTGTAAAAAGCGTGGTCGTTAAAAGTGTTAAAAACTAAGCTGGCTTTAACAGAACCGTTAGTCAGTCAGCGGATTTGAGTCCAGTCGAAAGGAAAAACAAAAAACAAAGGAAAAACGAGTGTCCTTGGGTTAAGATGACACACCCACCCCGAAAAGCAACAATAACAAGAAGAATTTTTCGGGCGCACAAAATGCGAATATGACGAACAAAAGGCAGACGGCAAAAATAGGCGGACCCACCCCGAAAAACTAGGAAAAATACAACAACAAAACGGGAAAGAAATGGGAGATTTTGGAAGCTGAATTTCAGATACCCTCGAAGTTAACTTTTTTGACACCTTTCGAGTTTAATTCCATGAAATCTTTCTCATTTTTTGTTATTTATCTTAGGTAATATCATACCCAAATGCAGTTCGAGATTCAATAATGTAAGTAACCATACAATACAGTCTTTAATAGTTTCTATCTATCTTTAAGATACTAAATCCGATCTATCAAAGTGAAAGATATTTCAATAGGGCTAATGTATACGCTAGTAATATCTCCTTTGCAGGGTATCAAAACTGCAGGAACGATACTTACTGTTGTTGTCCATGTTGTTAACTGATTACTGGTGCCCAGCGTTTTCAGCAGGTTCAATGCACGGCTGTATTTTCTTTTTTTATTGTTGTATCTTAAATACGAGTTTATGAATCACGCGCGTTAGCCGCGAAAAAACGGAAGGTAGGAATTACCTAGAATTTATATACACAAGTATTTCTTCGACGTGTTTTTTTTTTTATATTTATTTTGACCCTGTTCGCAGTTAAAATTCAACAAAGAGCGAGAGGGACAGAGACGGGGAGAGAGTGAGAGGGAGAAAGAGAGAGCGCATTTAATTCGCGTCACGTAGAAAATGCCGCACCGATTTTGTAGTTGTTTTAATATTTGTTGCAGCTCTTTTTTCTCTTTATTCGTTGCACTTTTCGCTTCTTATCTTCCTTCGCTTCCTTTTTGGCTTCGTATTTCTTATTTGTTGGCACGCACTTGCATTTCGTTTTCCGTTCCCACACTCATTCGTATGCACTTTTATTTACTTTGCTTTGCCACTGATTTTCTGCACTTTGCAACTGGTTTTCTTTTGAATGCCGCTAAGCTTTATTTATTTTCGGTTACTTGGTTGGATTTAATTAAATGCGCTTTTGGCCAATAAATTGGTAGCAAGTAAGCGAAACGCGAGCACGGCGACGAACACCCACAACAACCGTTCGCTGCACACGGCGGTGTGACCATTAACTATCACTGGGAAAATAACGCCGTAACGCGATAAGTGTGGACATGAATCGCGGCTTGAGGCTGCGGTATATACAGCACAGACTCAACCCCAAAAGGGGGTTTCATAAAACTATATTGACATTTTTTTATTTTTACTTTTATTTATCTAAAAATGCTTTGATTTAATTTTAACACTCCCAAAACTAAATATTAATTTTAAGATTAGTTTTTTTAATATTTATCTTAAAAAGAAAAGCTAAGTTATCATTGCTTGCCCAACGTAATTTTAATTCAGTTCTTAATTACATAAATTGTTTAAAACAATCTGAATAGCAAGATTTTTAAAAATATTAAACGAGAATCTTCATTTGTGACATTAATGGCGATTAATAGGCTACAAGAAGGCCCTTCGCGACCTCCTGGACTTTCTCCTTGCCCGCCAGCTCTTCGGCGATTTTAAGAGCAAATTCGTAGGCGGTTCCAGGGCCTCGGCTGGTGATGAGGTTTCCATCCTTGACAACGTTCTTGTCCTCCACATAGCTAAAGGAAAGAAAAGCAGTCATTAAAAATATAATCTTTAAATACGGGGAAATTCCAAAATAATAATAATGATAAGCACCTGTATTTGTCGACTAGCTGGGGTTTCATCGAAGGATATGAAGTGAGGGACTTTCCGGAGGCGATTCCATGCTTGGCCAGAACGGTGGGAGCAGCACAGATGGCGGCGATGAGTCTTCCATTGGACTCCTGGTTCTTCAGGATCTCCCCAACCAGCGAGGACTCCCCCATGGCATTGGAGCCACCCAAGCCTCCTGGCAGCACCACCACATCAAACTTATCCGACGAAACTTTGGCCAGCGAGGTATCCGGCAGTATTTGGACATCCCGCGAGCACTTCACCGGCTCCGCATCGTTAAGCCCGGCCACGGTGACCTTGATCTATCAGAACATATAGTTCTTATTATAGTTTATTTTATAGGGAAAGTATAGGACTTACCCCTGCACGTCTCAGGACATCGGCAGCTATGATGAATTCCATTTCCTCGGCCCCGGGAGCCAAAATAACGAGTGCGCTTTGAGCCATTTTAACAAGGTTTATATTTTTATTAAATGGAAATTTCATGAAAGTTGCCAGAGCTTATCGACTAACAGCCGGTGGGTAGCCGATAACTTCTGAGTTCAAAATGCCGAGATGTGGCAACCTGGGTTGTTGAAACCATTTTGGCAATTGTGGTCATACTATACACCGTTTGCTTTAAGGCCCGGCGCCATCTGTGGGACAGAAGCTTCAACAAAATCACTCACTGCATTCACTGCATGACTAAAAGCTGATAATCACAAAATAATTGAATTATATTTAAATTAAAGTTAATGTAGTTCATCTTCAATTACTAAAAATATTTAAAGTAAAATATTAATTTGCCATATCCTGGATAATTTTTCGGCACAAAGACTACAAGATTTATGGAAATATAATAACTAAGTTAGGGAATATCAACAAGGCTTGAGTCTTTGTTATTTGGCAATTAGAATTGGTTTGCGTCTTAGGTAAATTCTAATTGGCGTCCCAATGAATCTCAAAAATTAGATTCCAATAAAAAACAAGAATTCATAAAATGATTTATATACATACGAATAATGGGTAGATATATTTTAACAAACAATTATTTTATTTCATTTTCCCAATCAACATATCGATGGTAGAAGAGGCTGCCAGATAATACCCTACCCATCTCTAGTGACCTGACTATCGATGTTGGGCTATCGATATGTGGCCACACCACGAATTAATTTTTACTAAATTTAAGCCAAACGCGCATCGAAAATGCCCGGAAAATGCGATTAAATCCACGCGAAAAGTGAAAAACCGCGGACGCGAGTGCAACTAGTGGAAAAATATCAACAAATCTCAGCGATTGATCAACAAAAGGAAAATAATAAAAAGAGGAAAAGAAGAAAAGCAATAAGTGCCGTGTGTGGGAAACGCGAAAAAGGCGAGAACAAAGAGGCGAAAAGCAAGGAAATTGCGGGGAAAACGTGGAAAACGTGAAGGAGCGAAGGTAATTGTGGAAAATGCCTAGTGAAAATGCAACGTTTGCATCTGGAATTTGCGTATCTTCCAGTCCAGAAAATGCAATATCTGTTGAATGTGTGAGTGTGTGTGCTAGTGCGTGTGCAGATGCGATTGTGTGTGCCTAATATGTAATGGTGTGCATTTCCAATTGTCTGTGTGGAAAAGCGAGGAAAACTGCACGGAAAAACGCACAAAAAGCAATCAAAAATGTGCGGAAAAGTGCCTGAAAACGAAATGCGAAATACACACACAAATGCAACAGGCTGTATTTACATATTTCGCTCTCGCTCTCTCGTGGAATATCAATATATATAACTGTGCATATGTGTGTGTGAGGCAGAGCGAAGGTGGAAAAGAGAGGGAGAGATGTTGCTACACAAATCGGATTAAATTCTTCTATCTTCCTTCTCTTTCCCGCCGAGTGTACTAGTGTGAAAAAACTATAAATCTCAAATAATATATAGCTTAATTCCAGTGTAAATTAGAATTCCTTTCGTTTTCCCATCGACATTAGACAAGGTCAATTTCTACACGGATTTCTCACAGCTTTCCAGTTTTCGTTTAAAATTTTCCAACCGAAAGTGCGGCTAATTGGCGATGTATTTCAGGTGTCATAAAAATCAACAAGAAAACAATAGTACGGAACAAACTAAAGGCGACAATTACATTAACAAAAATAATAACAATAGGAATAGTAATTGCGGGAGTACAACAATAAGCAATACGAAAACAGAGCAAGAATCGTCTACAGTAAAAACAAACTAAAGTAACTAAGGAAATGTTAGTTATTTTGTTTAAAGAATCCTGTAACTTAGATCGTGAACTTAGTAACAAAATAGCACCGACTAGATAAAATATTAAAATGGTAAAATGTTATCTTTGGATATCGTATACTTCTAACAGTAACTAATCTATATAAAGGTGTTAGGTATAGTTTCTTGAGTAGTCTACACAAATCACCAAAGGAAATGCTCACTGTAGCCAAGGAAAAGAGCAACAGTGTGACAATATCCGTGGTGTTGATGCAACCGTGGGCAGCAGCTGCCTCAGATTTGCATATGGGTAATGCACACAAACGACAGACAGAAATATGGGGGAAAATGCACGAGAGCAACAAAGTAAATGTAAATACGAAAGATGCAAAATTCGAAATGTGGCACAAGTAACTGCAGTGCAACCCATTGTAATATGTAATTAGAGGCTGCGCCGCCACTTCAATGTCAGTGCGACAATAATTTCTCAGGCGGCTTATTTATGCTGGCAAAAAACAAAAGCAAAAACATAAAGCAAGAAACCTCCTCCTTTTGTGAAGTCAGCGTGTCGGCATGCCAGCCGAAATTCATAAACTTAATTGCAACTTAGCCTGCCGATGAAATGCAAAATGTCTGTGTCGCAGGCTACTGAAAAGTTTTGTAGTTTTCGTTAGCTATAGCGTAATGTTTTTTCATGGGTTCAACCTTATGAGCATAATAATTTATTTAGGTTAATATTTGTAGATCTGAGATGCGAGATTTATAAGTTTTGAGTTTGGTTTTGAAACTATTTTGACATATATTTATGAATAGAAACAGCCCTTTTATGGTACAAATCAAATGAAAATATGCCATAAGATATCATTATATATTACCCATTCTCAATCAAAATAAAATGCATTCCCTATTACTTGGAAAATTTCAAAGTAAATGATATAGTGGATATATATGCTAAAAGTATATCAACGATCCCAATCGAAATTCCTAATATTTTCCATCGAATGTTTATAAAAACTCAATACATGGCTGGGATATAAACAAGCCCACAAAAGTTGCAACAAACCAAAAAAAAACTTGACCACTCTGCTAACAAAAGCCCAAAAACTCCTCCCAAATGTGCAAAATGTTGTTGTTATACTGCCACTACTACTAGTACTACTACTACTACTAGTATTGTTGTGTTTTGTAGTTGTTGCTGCTGCTTTTGCGATTGTTGTTTTTGTTAAGACCAGCAAACAGCGGCGTCATCGTCAGCGACGCTGGAAAATCGTTGGGATTCCATTCACATTCCAGCATGCAATTCGCAGTGGATTATGTGAGTGTGCTGCTGCCGCTGTTGCTGTTGTTGTTGCTTTTGCTGGTTTTGTTGCTGGAACAGGTGAGGCTCCATTGGCGTTGATCGTGTGCATTCCACAAAGCACACGGACACACACACTCGCATGCACACATAGACGAAAAGCAGAGAGCAGGGCAATAAATACCAATACAGTGGGCTGTTTTTGCTGTTGTTGTTCGCTTTTAAAAGTAAATGAACGATAAAACAAGAAAAGGAAGAAGAAGGTTACGAGAGGATTGTAGCGAATAAATAGATACCCTACCCTGCAAAAAGGGGCTTGAAATATTAAGTAGACATTATCAGATATGGGTTATCTATTCCTTTATATTGTTTTGGTTTGCTTCATATTTAAAATCATTTCAAGAGGATATTTCCGATTAGTATCGGCACATTGTAGAATTCAAAAAACCATTTTTTAATATCAGAAATCCATAGTATTTCTCAAGAAAGTGGTGTGGGAGTGTCCGTTGATCAGCAGCCTCCCCCTAAAAAAATAACCCACAACCCGCTGGAATTTTCCCCGCCCATTCCTCGCCACTGTTCCACTGCAATGTAAGTCGAGCGACGTCGACGACGAAAATGCAATTTAGCTCGTTTTTCTTGCTTGCTTCAATTCCCTCCCGCCGTTCCTGCCCCAGCCCCTTTCCGACCCCTAGCCACACATGCACATTTTGAAACACGCCTCTGTGTAAGTGTGAGTGTCTGTGTCAGAGAGTGGATGAGAAAAGGGAAAACGAAACGAAAACAGAGAGAGCAAAAGCAACAAAACAGCAGCAGCCGCCCGTCCCGCCCCCTTTTTTCCGCCTGCCACCTCCCCCTTTTCCTCTCTGCTCCTCTCCTTCTTTGCTGTGGAATGCGCATTTTTGCAATAATAATCAGCAACTAATACTATTTTTATCTTCTGCCCTGACGCGTCGCACACTTCTTCGCCTGCCTCTGTGTGTGTGTGTGTGTGTAGTCGAGTGTTTGCCCCCTGCAGCGAGATTCTCTCTCTCCTCCCTGTACTCCCCTTTTCTCGCCCTCCTTACTCACTCCTCTCGATCGCTCTCTTTTGGATGCCTCGCCATTCCCTCCGGATTCGGGGATCTTTTGGTTTCTTACTATGGTAACGAAATCTATTACGCGATAAGTAAGCATAGTTAGGAGTCGGATCTGAAGTTATAGTTATATATCGGATAGAATTATGTTGCTACCATTTAAAGTTAGTTGACCAAATAAGTTGGTAGACTTTTCACCGTTAATCTGTTAGATAGATAACGCTATTAATAAACCCCTGTTTACTCAGTGTAAGTCAGAGGTGATGAAACAGCCTCTAACAAGTGTCAAAATAAACACAATCTTGACAATATAAATACTAAATCCTGGTTTGCGAAAGTTATTAGGAGTACTATCTTAGAACTAAACGCTGGGAAAGCATTACACAACCTTTAAAAAGATAATTTTGTGTAATGCATTCCTATATCTTTTACTATAAAGTTAGGTAAGGTTATTAAGCCCTCACACGTATTTTAATTTTCCATGATTAATTCTGAATATTAGATTTTGAAGATTTATAAAGTAACAATCCGAAAAGCCTGGTGCTCAGAGCTTTTAATTGCCAATAAAGTGTCTCAATTAATGCTAAATACGAAATTCTGCGTAAGCGAAAATAGAAAATAAAAGCCATTTAGATATAGCCTTAGATACAAGGCGGCACTCAGGCTTTTATGTGGAGGCACAACTTTGGACGCAATTAAACAATTAAAAATTCCGATAGCGTAGCCGCTTAATAACGCATCAAAATCAAAATATCTCGCCAGAGTGGGGGTGGGATGGAGCAGGGAAAGGGATAGCGACAGAGGCAGAGGATTGCAGGCGAATTAGTTATTTGGATTGTTAATTAGTTATTGGATATGTTATGTACACACTCGTGTGTTTATTTGCGCAAAAATACTGTGGGGTATGCGTGGAATGCGAAAATTTCCCAACTTGGCACCAAAACAAAAATAATGCGGGAGGCTATATATATACATAGTTATATATATATGTATATGTATATGTTATACCAGGGCCGATCTCTGTTGACACTCGGATTTGGCGCGTGGGGCCCGAGATGTTTACCCACCCAAGATCTATATGTTCCCCGGCTTGTTATCATCTATGTCTCGTGTACACAACCCCGGCAAAATTCACATTCCTCGGCCAAAGCTAATAGAATAGAATTAAAGTAAAGAAAACAACTTTTGTCAACAGAATAATTAAAACTCGCATTTAGCCGTGCCATTTTGTTGCTGCTGGCTTTTATGTTCGAGTGAATTTACAGGGCAATCAAAAGGCTGTTTGCAGATCAAGGCACAGAGTCATGTTTGAATGTTGACAGATGTCTATGGTTCATTATCTCTGGATATATGCACGTTCGTTTCTATATACTTGTATGTACGCGAGTGCTGCCAGGAATGTCAACTATTTAGTGTGCCAACTTTATGGCTAAATTGCGGAATCGGTTATTAATGCAGCCATCAATATGAAAGCAATGCTGTTGTGGGGGCATTATGATTTCTTAGATATTTTCTGGGATCTAAAACTAACTTTGCAGGGGGCTTCTACAACGATTTCCCAAGAATCACCTTTAAACTATAGCTTCCCCAGAACTTCACTTGAAATCAACAAGTAATTTATAATCAAATAATAAGGAAAGGATTGGGTTACTTTATCACATTTCTTCACTATAAACAACTGTCTTTATATGAGTCATCAAAACTCAGAAGCATTTAGTTTCTAGTTAATATCTGTTTAGCTATCTTGTCTGTGTAATTTAGCAGGGTATCACAAGCGTCGATCATTGCCACACTCCCCCGTGTTCGTTGCGTTTCCTTCCTCATTTGCACTTGGCACAAATTCGGCGAAATTCCGTGTTTGTTTACATATCTATCTGTCGATGGCTATTTCATAGTCAGGTGCGCACGCCACTCCCTCCGCCCCCCGATCCCCCTAATGTAGTGTGAACTTAATGGTTCGTCATAAAAATGGGTTTGTATTTGCGTTGCTGTTGCGCTGTTGCCGCCTTTTTGGTGTGGGGGATTTTTTTACATTTCCCCAGAATTTAAAACATGACATAAGAGCATAATTTATGGGCACCCCGGCGGCCACCTGAATTCCCCACTTTGTTTTTGCCTCGATCGGTTGCAACTCGGGCCAGTGCGAACCCGAAAATCACAGGCAAAAGGCGTGAAAATCATGCACAAAAAGCACTTCCTTCACAAGCTGCGATGGTCATTACGGACAATGAGTGTGGATTTTCCGGCAGCTCTTTAAGACCCCCGATATTCAGTGACTCACGTCGCTGGCACTCGAATGGGCCAACAAACCCATCAACGGGCGAGATAGTGTTGCATATTTGGACTTTTGACTGATGAGTTGGGAAGGGAATTTGGAAGTAGAGTACTTTTTAGTCATATATCTTTACTGATTACTATGAATTTGAGTTGCTTCTCATTTCTACTAGCTTTGAGACTAGCTAAAGTGCTTTCTTAAATACAAAGAGTCGCTGTAATTAAGTTCAGGCTGTCTGAACCCAGCCACTTCTGTGTGGGCTTCTAATGAATGGGTCACTTTGCAGGCGAATAAAAAACGCGACCGAAACCTTGTTTCGCATATAGCGTGTGACAATTTTCGTTTGATCAATTTTCTCATCGAATCCCCCCGCCTCTTGTCTATTTTCAGCTCCAAGTTGGCCGCCATCGATTCGTGCGTAGGATCAATTAAAATTCCGTGAGGCCGAGAATCAAATCAAATTAAAAATCAACTAATATTTTGATATTCAAATATTCAAATGAGATTCATTCATCGCCTGGGACTTTTGTTCGGATCTGCCAACTATCTTCGAATTTGAATTGTGTCTGCGGCCAGCGCGGAATCTGTGATAAAGCAGAGAAGTACAAAGAGAATACAGAATACTAAAAGTCGGATTCAGATTCAGATTCGGAATCGGAATCAGAAATAAAATGTGAGGAGAAGTATTTACATGCGAAATGAATGTCGGGCGGCGAGAGAGGTTTTGTTATAATGCAAATGTGAAGTGGAAGAATTCCCGGCGCGAGTGATAAATAATCCGACGACAAACAAAAGCAGAAGCCTACACAGCGAGAAAGAGCAGTGCAAACACATTTATCTTTATTGAGAGCAACAATATCAAGATCGAGATAATAAAGCATCGTAAACCTTCGCATGTCCGACGACCACTAAGTAGTTCATTATAAAGTCTCCCCACAAATAATCAAATGCAAAAAGTGCCCCTGCTGAGGAAATACTCGTCGTATTCAGCTCAACTCAACTTAGCTCAACTCAGCTCAACCTAACAAAACAAAATAAAATAAAACAAATCACAAATCGAGTGGCATAATCTATCAATTTACGTGTATTTTATACAAAACATCCAATTAAATAATAATAACAAGAAAGGCAAAGCCGCAGAAATATTTATTTAAATCAAATCCCTGGCCGCCGATGTGCCCTGAGTGTGTGTGTGCTGTGCGTGTGTAAACTGGCGGTCGTCGAGCATTTCTTGTGCTATGAGTGCTAAATACCACAGGGCGAAGAAGCAGCATCATGCATCCAGCGGGCGAAAAAAGGGGCGGTCGCCCCAATGATAAATACACGGCGGAAGCCCTCGAGAGCATCAAGCAGGACCTAACCCGATTCGAAGTACAAAATAACCATAGGAATAATCAGGTAAGAGCAGAAAGTAAATTGCAATTAGTTTTCAGTTAGAGAAGAAGATCTGCATCTCGATTCAGGGAATCTTCATTCGAAACTACGAAAGATTTACAGCTCAGTACTAGGAATTATCTGTTAGATACGACCAGTATTTCTGTTCATTGATTTCACAAAAAAAAAAAACAGCGAAATGAAAACAAATGTGGTATAAATTTGCATGAATTTGCTAGTTCGTCTGAATCAGATCGTAGATTTTATCAAATGATGAATGGGCTGATTAAAGAAAATCTTCATTCAGCTTAAAAAGTATTTCATATGGTAAACAGAAAACAAGATCTGTGAACTTTGGTCAAAGCAAGATGTTTGCCATTATAAAACATGTTTGAAGTTTTTATTGACTTAAAAAATGAAATATACTTCGCTAGAAAAGTGTTTTTGTTGAAGACAAATCTCCTGAAATAACAAAACGTTCTACTTCATAATCATTGTCAGTTTTCCTTTGTTTTTCTTCCAAATACATAAAGCTAAAGAATTTCCATCGCTGACTCACTTAAAGTGGTCAGTTCAAGCTGTTGAACAGGCTCAAAGAATTTAAATAAACCGTTTAGCTCCATGCCACTCAACTCATCTCAGTTTAGCCCGGCTCAGCCGCGTCTCATTCTACTTAAGATCGTCTTGGCTGTCGCGTGGAAGTTATGCCATTAAAAACGCTTATCACAACTTTTTATAGTCGGTCGACAAATGACGCGACAACCAAGACACAAAAAGAGGAGACACGACAACTAATAAAAAACTAACAACCAGAAAAAATGCAAGCCACAAGACCTCTAGCAATGACCATTTCCCCAGATTTTCTCTACAGCGTGGGTGATTTTCAAGACGAGACTGGGAAAGTGTGGCTAACTAGTAACTGCTCTTGATTTTATGTCTTTTATGGTCAATCTTTAAGTGTTTGTTGTTTACGAAACTGAATTTATGTTTTTAAAGAATGAAGAATAGTAAAGATATGGTAAGAACTAATACAGATACCGACTAATACTGGTATCTTCTAAGATATATAGTATGTGTACTCAGAAATACATTAATGCCAAAATTCTCTCTAGCCAAGAATAACGTCAGATATTTTTTTAGAAACTGGCACGAGCCGCGGATTTTTCACCTGCGCGCGCGAGTTCGAACAAGGTCAGGAGGTGGGTGGTTGGTCAGCTGTGGTAGCAACGGCAACAGGAGTTGGCAATTAGCCTGGTCAGAAGAAAAAGATCTAGACGAGCTATATTTAACTTGTGTGCAGAGGCAGCCGAAGGGGGGGCGAAATTAATGAACTGGCAAGCGAAATGCAATTGACCTTCTGCCTTGCCGAGTGGGTGGATTGGTGGCGAGGGGCTGGCAGACAAAGTGACCAGCGGAAGAGGGACAGAAAGTGAGCTGCACAGAGAGAAAAAGTAAACTTGACGATCATACTTATGTGATGAGTTAAAATATATATACGAGGTGTGTTCAAAAAGTAAGGTGACTTTTCAAATTTCGCGGGCAACATATTTTCGATTATCGTTTTTTTTGTTTTGTTATATTGGTACACTCTTCCCTAACATCTGTACCAAGTTTCAATGGAACATCCTCTTTTGTTTGGTTGTGAGAGGCGTAAAGTTACAAGTTGTTTTGCGAGCTCGGCGATTTTTTGCTATCGAAAAATATGGATCAAAGGATTTGCATCAAATTTTGTGTAAAAAATAAAATTAAGTGCTCTGAAACACTTGAAATGTTGACAGTGGCATACGGTGAAACTGTTCTGAGTAAAAAAAATGTGTACAAGTGGTACAAACTCTGAAAGTTTTCTCTCCGTGTAGAAAGAGAGGGAAATGAGAGCACACACACGAGATGATCTTTACAGTAGCGAAGTGTGCGTACACGCGATCGCCCTGGATTCTTGGCATTGACGTCACACTTCGAACTCAACCGATCAGATCGGAATATATATTCCAAGCCAATTGATGAGTGGGTTGCTATTGATTTCAATGAATGCCGAAAATTCCCCAAACGATGGGCGGGAAGGGGGCCAATGACTAATGGTTGCGATGGTCTTGCAGGATCGGTTAACGATTTCAGCACCATCTCCTCAATTAGCCAAGCAACTGGCCATAATCATTTATTAACTGGTTGCTCTCTCTACAGTTAAACTCTCAAGTCAGTTAGTCAGTTAGATACAGTGCGTGACGAAGGTGTAAGGAAATGATTGTGCAGTAAAGGGAATTTCCTGTTTTATTTCTCACTTAATCAGAATTAAGAAAGTAACGAGCTTAAGTTTATATCCTTTTCGTAATGGAACATAGACCATGAGAACTAGTTAATTATATCACGGCCTTACCAAAACTTCATCTAATCAGCATTCCTTGCCAATAACTGTTTCCTTGTTCCATAAACTAAACGGCGTAATAACCTATCAGAATGCAAATCTATAAAAAAGATAATAGCGCTCTGAGGAGTAGCCCAGTGAAATGACGTGTTTATGGCTATTTATTTATATGTTCTTGGAGAGTATGTATCTTTTCAATAAGTTAACACATCCCATAACTGGCTACTTTTGATGGCCAACCCATCTCGATGACTGCTCTCCTGTCAGCATTTCTTTTTTAAGCCACTATTAAAGATTTCAATCGCTGCAAAGCCTAAAGTTCTGAAACGGGCTTTAAAAATGCGAATGCGAAAAGGCTGCGGCAAGGAGTTTGTTTTGAGACAAGCCAAGGCAGAGGAGGAGGACATAAAAATTCTTAAATATTATCTGACGGGTCATCAATTTAAAGTTTTACGATCTCCACTTGCCAGCTACTGTTTGCTGCGACTGTAAATTATGTTCCGGGCTCTTTGGATTCGGATTCGAGGATCAGGCCAAAGAAATTCCAGAGTCCAACGAAAGAAGGGGAACGAAGGGGAGATTTCTCTTAATCCCGGCGATGGGCGTGCTCAGGTTTTCGGCCATAAAATATATGCTTTGGAGCTGGCTAATTGTTATGACTGCGGCCAGTTTGGACAGGCCAATTTAATGCTGCAATTGCTGTGCCATTTGCCATTGGCATTGGCACAGAGACTCTTTGGCTTTTTGTTGGGGCTTTCAGTCTTCGGTTTTGGCCAACTTTCGCCTGGCTTTTCGGCCTACGCCTGCCAGGCAGCCTGCCTGCGAGCTTTGAAGCACAATGGCCCGGCTAATTGGTCATGCTGAGCGCTAAATACCTGAAACCCATAATCTGCTCATATATGGCTCATATGTTGGAATACTGGGATCGGGATCGGGGGGTTTTCGTCCATATGTGGGCAGAGCATGTCAGAGCGATAAACGATAGACGATAAATAAATACGAAATTTATGCACGGTCCGATCAACACTTTCAGCGGCCATGTTCACGCCCACACAGTCGCTTACCACTTAGGCGAGCTGATACCCTTTGAAAGATCATTCGGAAGCCGACTTTACGTATAAATTCATAACAGGTTGTATTAGTAAAACTGAGGAAAAGGCAGAACCAGAACTGTTAAAATCGAATTTCAAAATCACAGAAAACTTAAAGCTAAAGTATTGTAAAAAAAAAAAAACTTATATTTTAGCCGGTTAGCTACCCATAAATCGATTTTGTAAACTCACTCTGCTCCTGCTATAAATATCCATATCAAAAATGGTTGGGCCACAAGTATGCAGAGAAATTAATTAAAATAACAAACGCTGATAATAAATTGGAATCCAAACGCCAAAAAGGCAGCGAATAAAAACGAATAAACAAGCCGCTAGACGCCAACGCATTTAACAGTGAGCCAAATGCCATTACAATAAAAATTAAAATAATCCATAAATAAATTAGTAAACAAAACGAAGCAATAGATTTGGTGGAGAGAGGGAGGTCCGAACTCTGACAATACCATTTCAGGGTCCATTCCATCCATATGATCTGTGACATATTTGGTGCTGTTTTGGCCCGAACACATGTAATCCCAATTTTAGATTCGGTGCGAAGTTGGCTATTTATCTAGAGTGTGGGCACAGTGGGTGCAATAAGTTTAGTGAATAAAGATGTCAAGGGAATGGCTCTCACTAATTGGAACTATTAATTGTTAGATTTTTTATTAACATAATCTATAAAAGCATTTGCGATTAATACAGGGTATCAAAACGCTTTCAGCTGGCACTGTAAACATTTTATGGGGGACACATTTGATTTCGAGCGAGATGGAATTCCTTGGGGTGCAATTTTCAACTAATTTGCGCGATTTTCGTGCGAAAAATTTGTTGAACCTGTCGGTGGGTCGCTTTCGCTCGATTTTCTGTATTCTCGCGCTCAGTGCTTTAGCTATTTTTCTCAGGAATTTTCACCCGAATATATGTGAGTGTGTGTCTACATACTATATCGTATCTGGTACAGCCATATCCAATATGTATCAGCAGCAGCAATCGCCGAAAAAAGAATGTGTGTTGCCTCTAATAATAACAAAAGACAAACAGACACACGCACAGCCCACCAGCACAAACACAAACAAAAGTCGGCGTGCTTCAGAATGTTTGGCTATATCTATATAGTGCTTCTATGGTCTGATCGGTGAGAGATATTCCCCGCCCAGTATTGGCCTTCACTTCCTTAGAAAGAAACATCAAAGTTTATACTCAAATTATTGGGGCATCCTTGAATATGAAATACAATTTAATATTTTATCATATGGTCATGTTAGCTTGTCTTCCCTGTACTCACTTTGTACACAAATAATTGCTATTTGCCAAGAATTTTAAATTTTGATATATTTACATTTTGGCATTGCAATTTTAGAGGAATTTCGTGGTCGTAACACCTTGCTACAGGGACACCTGGTATACTTTTATAATTATCAGCACTAAACTAATGCAGTTTAGGTTTTAGTAGATTTTCGGTAACGTTTCTAAGATACAACTTAATTACAGTTCCTTGTTAAAAGCACAAAGTTTACCAGTGAAGTATTTCAATCTTTCAGTTAAAGAATATCTGGTCTTGTGTAATCCGAAAATACCTTTGACCTTGTCTTCAGCGTAATCGCCTTGCAAATTGCATTGGCGACCGCAAAGCAAAGAAGCTTAAGTGGATTAGCGAAAGTGTTTCGGCAATTCTACGTCGCGCGTTCCCTTCGCCCGCAAGTACCCCGATAAATCCAATTTATTTTATTTGAAAATTCAGCAATGCCAATTTGCGTGGGCGACACTTTTCTTGGTCTTGTTGCACTTGCTGATTTAGTGAGCCCATTGGCTTTCGCTAATTTGCCGTAAATTGGCTTTCATGTAAGACTGCGAGGAAGAATGGGGCATTGGGAGCCCCTCAAAGAGCGACGCACAGTCTGCTGGGGGTCTTTGTCGGGCTTCGCTTGGTTCGCGTCCTTGGATTTAATTTGATGCCCATTCAAATCGCGACATGTAGAATGGGTGAAATTCCCCACAATGATTCCCGAATAAAATGCGAGCAATTTAGCATCATAAAAATGTATTTTAAGAATGTTCTAACAAAAATCATTCACCAAAAAGTCTTATAAAGGCATAAAAAAGAGCACAAAGCTTAATCTTTAAATTAAAAAACATTCTTTGCTGAAAAGGCGGTATTTCATTTAAATCACCTACGTAAATTCCTGCCAGACGTGGAACAGGTCTGAATATATGAATTTTAAACGATTATTTATCTTATTAAGCGACAGAGTATTAATTTATTTTAATTGCAATAAAGTACAAGTTAAGTGATTTAATGAATATTATTTGTTGTGTTAAGCTTCCTACTTATGCAGTAATTACTCAGTATTTAGCATGACCTCTGGAAAAGGTTTGCCTGCCATTAAATAAATATTTCATTTAAAATGTCTTCTCTACAAGAAGATTCTGAATTAATTACAAAAGAAGATAAATCTTAAACCTGAAGAACTTGAGTTCCCATATCGTATAAAAGTTCCCATCACGCTGCCATCTCTAGATTAAAGAGAGCCAGAGAGAGTGTGGCATTCAAAGTCATAAAATCGAGGATCAGTCACAAAAGGGCAAACGATTGTTGGTGGGAAGGAGAGAACAGACGGAGGAGCAGAGGTATCAAAAGAACGCGTAAAACGGGTAGCTGACAAGGAATGAAAGGGAGGCCCAAAGAACAAGGCGACGTAGACAAATGAGTGAGAGCGAGACGGAGGCAAGGGCAACCTTCGCTGCAAGTGTATTTGTTCTTGTGTTTTGGAGCGCATCTGGCAGCCGGCTCTTCTTCTTCCCTCTCCTCCCCCTCTTTTTTTTGTACTCCCCAATCGCCCCCTCTCTTTCGTTTGCTCTTTCCCACTCGCTCCTATTGCCTGCGCTTGACTTTTAGGAATTTCACGACGATGGCAAGAATTTGATTTCGTTGCTTTGGTCGCCTCATTTCTTCGGTCTTTTGTTTTAGCCTTCGATTCGCCTTTGGCTGTTCTTTGTTTTTCTTTTTTGTATGCACGTCTTTTGTTTAGTTTTCGATACAAACACATAAATAAGTATACAGCAAAGAGCAGGGAATTTCTTCCAGTGCAGGAATGTTGATCGCAAATGGACACCGTGAAATGAATTTTTAGGGGGTTGCCACTCTTCGTTTTTAATATCTTAATATATGTAGATAGCTTTTCATATTGAATTATTACAAACTATTCATAATTTTACTCACTTTCCTCTTTACTCGATTGCTTCCAGAATTACACACCTCTGCGATATACGGCGGCCAACGGACGCAACGATGCACTTACTCCGGACTATCACCACGCCAAGCCGCCGATGGAACCTCCACCCTCGGCGTCTCCTTCGCCGGACGTGGTCATCCCACCGCCCCCCGCCATTGTAGGTCAGCCCGGATCCGTTTCCATGTCCGTATCTGGAGTGGGCGTTGGTGTGGGGTCGATGGCGATGGGTCGTGTGCCAAAGATGATGACGGCTTTGATGCCGAATAAACTGATCCGGAAACCGAGCATCGAGAGGGACACGGCGAGCAATCATTACTTGCGTTGCAGTCCGGCTCTGGATTCTGGAGCCGGAAGTTCCCGGTCGGACAGCCCTCATTCGCACCACACCCACCAGCCGAGTACGAGGACGGGAGGAAATCCTGGCGGAAATGGTGGATTTTCCCCGTCACCGAGTGGTTTCAGTGAGGTGGCACCACCAGCACCGCCGCCACGTAATCCCACCGCCTCCAGTGCGGCCACACCTCCACCGCCAGTGCCGCCAACCAGCCAGGCGTACGTGAAACGACGATCGCCGGCCTTGAACAACCGCCCGCCGGCGATAGCGCCACCCGCTCAGCGGGGCAACTCACCTGTAATAACCCAAAATGGGTTGAAGGGCCAACAGCAGCAGCAGTTAACGCAGCAGCTTAAGTCCCTGAATCTGTATCCGGGCGGAGGAAGTGGTTCAGTGGTTGAGCCACCGCCGCCTTACCTAATTCAAGGTGGAGCAGGAGGGGCACCGCCGCCACCGCCCAGTTATACAGCCTCCATGCAGTCGCGGCAATCGCCCACGCAGTCCCAACAATCGGATTACAGGAAATCCCCAAGCAGTGGGATATACTCGGCCACATCAGCAGGATCACCGAGCCCCATAACCGTGCCCTTGCCACCGGCCCCTCTGGCGAAGCCACAACCGCGGGTTTACCAGGCCAGAAGTCAGCAGCCGATCATAATGCAGAGTGTGAAAAGCACGCAGGTCCAAAAACCCGTGCTCCAAACCGCCGTGGCTCCTCAATCTCCTTCGAGTGCCTCGGCCAGCAATTCGCCTGTTCATGTCCTGGCCGCACCACCTTCCTACCCCCAAAAATCCGCAGCCGTGGTGCAGCAGCAGCAACAAGCAGCAGCGGCAGCGCAGCACCATCAGCACCAGCAGTCCAAGCCACCAACGCCCACAACACCACCTCTTGTGGGTCTCAACAGCAAGACGAACTGCCTGGAGCCCCCGTCGTATGCCAAGAGCATGCAGGCCAAGGCCGCCACGGTGGTGCAGCAGCAGCAGCAGGTGCAGCAGCAACAAGTGCAACAGCAGCAGCAGCAGCAACACCACCAGCAGCAGCAACAACTTCAGGCCTTAAGGGTGCTCCAGGCTCAAGCCCAACGGGAACGGGATCAAAGGGAGCGAGAACAAAATCAGCAGAAGATGACCAATGGAAATCCCAGCCGGCAGTTGCCCCCACCACCACCCTATCAAAGCAATAACAACAACACCGAAATCAAGCCGCCCAGCTGCAATAACAACAACATACAAATAAGCAACAGCAACTTGGCTACGACACCACCCATACCGCCTGCTAAATACAATAATAGCTCCTCCAACACGGGAGCCAATAGCTCCGGGGGCAGTAATGGGTCCACCAGCACCACTGCCTCCTCGTCGAACACCTGCAAGAAGATCAAACACGCCTCACCCATCCCGGAACGCAAGAAAATCTCCAGGGAGAAGGAAGAGGAGCGCAAGGAGTTCCGCATCAGGCAGTATTCCCCGCAAGCTTTCAAGTTCTTCATGGAGCAGCATATAGAGAACGTGATCAAGTCGTATCGCCAGCGAACCTATCGCAAAAATCAGCTGGAAAAAGAAATGCTGAAGGTGGGACTTCCGGATCAAACTCAAATTGAAATGAGGAAAATGCTGAACCAGAAGGAGAGCAACTACATCCGTTTGAAGCGCGCCAAGATGGACAAGAGCATGTTCATAAAACTGAAACCCATTGGAGTGGGTGCTTTCGGCGAAGTTACCCTGGTGCGGAAAATAGACACCTCCAATCATTTGTATGCGATGAAGACCCTGCGGAAGGCCGACGTTCTCAAAAGGAATCAAGTGGCTCATGTCAAGGCCGAGAGAGATATCCTCGCGGAAGCCGATAATAATTGGGTAGTGAAGTTGTACTACAGCTTCCAGGACAAGGATAATCTGTATTTTGTGATGGACTACATACCAGGTGAGTGGGAATTGAAGAAACATAGAAATACTAATTCCTAAATACTAAATACAAATACTAATCCCTATATCTACAGGTGGTGATCTGATGTCGCTGCTCATCAAACTGGGCATTTTCGAGGAGGAGCTGGCTAGATTCTACATTGCCGAGGTCACCTGCGCCGTCGACAGTGTCCACAAAATGGGCTTCATTCACAGGTAAAAGAGAAGTCCTTATTATTATTTAATATATTATATGTTATCTGCTTTCTATGCTCCTGCAGAGACATCAAGCCTGATAACATACTCATCGATAGAGACGGACACATAAAGCTCACCGACTTTGGCCTGTGCACGGGATTCCGATGGACGCACAATTCGAAGTACTACCAGGAAAATGGTAAGATTTATATAACCCAATGCAATTCCAAATAAGATATCCTAACAAAACTCTTTTGATAGGCAATCACTCGCGCCAGGACTCGATGGAACCTTGGGAGGAATACTCGGAAAACGGACCCAGGCCCACAGTGCTGGAAAGGTGAGTTCATAGACTAAATCAGTATGAAAAGTGACTAATATACCGAATTCGCAGGAGACGGATGCGCGATCACCAAAGAGTCTTGGCCCACTCGCTGGTGGGCACCCCGAACTACATAGCCCCCGAGGTCTTGGAGAGAAGTGGCTATACGCAGCTTTGTGATTACTGGAGTGTGGGCGTCATCCTTTACGAGATGTTGGTAGGTCAGCCGCCCTTCCTGGCCAACAGTCCGCTGGAAACGCAACAAAAGGTGGGAAATGAGTTACTTAACTTACTAAAAGTGAAAATACAATAATGCTTTCTTGATTTTAGGTCATTAACTGGGAGAAAACTCTGCATATACCGCCACAGGCCGAGCTGTCGCGGGATGCCACGGATTTGATAAGGAGACTATGCGCGGCGGCAGACAATCGGCTGGGGAAGAGTGTGGACGAGGTGAAGGGCCACGACTTCTTCAAGGGCATCGACTTTGCGGACATGCGAAAGCAGAAGGCGCCCTACATACCGGAGATTAAGCACCCAACGGACACGTCGAACTTTGATCCCGTGGACCCGGACAAGCTGCGCTCGAACGACTCCAACATGAGCAGCGGCGACGATATCGACCTGAACGACAGGCCCTTCCACGGATTTTTCGAATTTACCTTTAGAAGATTCTTCGACGACAAACAGCAGCCGGATATGTCGGATGACCAGGCGCCGGTTTACGTCTGAGAAAGTACCCATATCCGCCAAGAACATCCCACCCCAAAATCATTGTTAGTCAAATAGTCACAAAGAAGGGAGAGAAGTTAAAGAGTGGGCTTACTGTAAAGAATGCGTGACTATAGAATGAAACTATATATATTATATAAATTATAGGAGAAAGTAGAGAAGGGAATACACATATACATACAAATATATATATATGCCTGAGGGCATGAACTGAGTAAATTTAAAACGGAACAGAATAGAGATGAAGGAAGATGAAAGGAGCAAAGAAGGGAAGAGCGTGTCAGGACTTTCGACTTTTAACTGAACATAGTATATCCTTCTACACTACTTGAGAACAAGCGCTATAACCATATATATTTAAATCGTTAGAAAACAAAGGGACCAACTGGAAAATCGAACATTTCTGGTGCTCAAAGCAAACAAAATGCCTTAAAAACGAGACGAGAACGCGAATTTACCCAACCACTCCTCTCCCATCTTCCACCTTCAATCGATGGCCGGATGTCAACTCAGCAGGCTGGTTGCAACCTGGCCATCCCACAACTTCCCATTCAGAGTTGAGATTGAGAGGTGGGCGATGGAGAAACGGAGACCAAAAGTCGCACGGCAGCGATATAAGCGGGTCTTATAAGCCTAATCTAAATCTAATCTAGAAGAACAGGACCTTAACTCTGTGTCTTTCTACCCAAAAACTATCACTGCTCTTCAAATGTGTCCTCCACCCCAAAAAGAACAAAACTTAGACATAACCTATGTGAAAATATCTAGCAATGTTAGACCAACTTGTTGAATGCCAAATCAAACTATGCGAAAATGTGAGGAAAATTCAACACTTATTCTCTGATAGCAAACAGCAGAGAGAACACAAAAACGTTACGAGGAGAGCTAAGGAAATTGTAATCTTTTTAATGTAATATTGTAAAGAAAAACGCTAATTGTAATCTATGCTAAAGTTGTGTAGCGCCCTAAGATGTTTTTTAGTTTATAGACCGCTAACCGTAATCTAGTTTAATTCCTAACACTTAAGCGAGAGTACATCAATTTTTTTGTTTGTCGTAGGTTCGTTGGAAAATGCTTAACGGGAAACGATTTGTTTTTCTATTTAATTAGCTTCAGTTTGTATGTGCGTGTGTTTTTATTATGAATATATATATATATCTATCTAAATATATATAAATTGAACCTATTTTAAATGTGAGAGGAGAGCGAGCTAATTGAAGGAAAATACAAACAAACTCTGTGTGCCTTGGCCAATTAGTTTACTAAAGCAAATAAATAAATGGAAAAGAAAATATAAACGCAAACGGATGTTCTTGTTTTGGGGAGTTTTAAATTTTGTAAAGAAGTTTCTTTATTTCATGGCAATGCCTTTCTTAAGTGCCGGAAAATGGTAATGCTCTGTCAAACACGTACATTAAAAAAACTTAAATTAAAAGTAAACTATAATAATATCACTTAATTTTTATTATTAAAAGGAATTTCCCAATTTTTTTACATTTAAAAAACGCGGCCGGAAGTTAGTGAAATATTCGATTATATTATATCGATTTTTATGACCCTTACCATCGAACACTGAAGCATAACATGGTCACACTATGGCGGACTTTTTAATTGCCCTGTGAACTATCCAGAACTGGGAATTCTCTTAAAGGAGCATATTTTCACTTTGCTTGCAAGTTAGAAAGTAAGTTCTTTTACCCAAAAACCCCCAATTAATAAATCTTTGCATTTAATTTTTAATAATTTCTTTTTTTATTATTTTCACATTGTAAATTTAATAATTATAATAATGGTTTTGTAAATTTATCAAGACAAAAAGGTTTTATTCATTTATATGAATGCGCTTTTATCCATTGAATCGTTTGGCTTACTTTGATTAAAATACATTTATGCGTAATATTTGAAATATAAGTTATTTTGAATCGTTCTCATTCGTCTCCCAATTTATTTGGTTACTTTTTTCAGATGTTTTAGCGGTATTTTTGGTGTTCTCTGTCGATCAATAAAATGAACATTTGATGCCGTTTCAACGAGGTACTTAACTTAGGATCGCTATTGTTGGACATAAGAAATAAAACAAATAATACAAGTTTACTGCACTTCCTGCTCCGCATATTTACACGTATTTAGTGAGGTGAACAACTTTAACAGAGAGTTGGGAGTGGGACAAGAGAAAATATGGAGTTCGGAGTTTGGAGGTTGGAGTTTGGAGTTTGGAACACATAAAAACGATCATCCTCCAATTAAGTGTAGTGTAGTGTAGTGTATAGTATTTAAATAACTAACAATTGTTTATGTTTATGTACGTGAGTGTTATGTAGTGTAGTGTGTATTTCATATAAGGCCCTAGAGTGCAAATATCCATCACAAACCACATAGTATTTGCGCTTAAAAGTAAGTTCTTTTTTTAGTGTTTAAGTTAACATTTTGTTGTTGTTAAGGGTTCTCTTTAACTAGGCTAAGTATTTACGGTTGTAATAGTAATTATTGTTAAATTTATGCTAACGTGTGCTGGCTGTACTTGAAATCTGAAGTATCTCAACTCGAGTATAACAGTTTGCGTTTGTTTTGGTTTTGGATTCTCTAGCTTTTGTTCTTGCGAAATAATTTACAAAAAATATATGTATTTACACATATATACTTGTGATCGATCTACTGGGCGACCGATCCGTTCTCCTCTTCATTAAAAATACAAATATATAAAAATTAATTAAGTATTAAATGCATTTTTTTGTGAGTTGTCCTCTTTTTGTTTGAGTGTCTGGAAAAGCAAGAAAATCATGGGCGAAAATTCCTTGCACAAGTTAAACATCAAAAAAGAAATGTTCGTTGTTCTGGAAACCTTGTTTGTTTTTTTAACTAATTGTAGTTTGTGGCTGAGTAGAAACGATTATAATTGAAAGTTACTTGATTCTTTAGGTTTTTCACTTGTTTGTTCTTTTGGCTAGCGCAGGAATCGAAAGCATTATCAATTATTTAGTCATAAATTTATTGTCATGGCAAACATTTCGATAGTTAATAGGGGCTTTGGTTTTCTTCTCTGATTTTCATTTTTACATTTAATACGCACATGGAATTTTGCTAATCGATTTCGCGAGACTTTTCCAAATGATTTCTTTTTCTTTTTACATACTAGATTTTCTTTTTTTCCGTTTTTTTTTTTTCTTTGAATATTCTGAAACGTTTTTGAATCGTTAAATAATCTTTAATAAGGCCAAATTAAGTTTTTGTTTCGCTTCGTATATATTAAACATTAGTTAGCATTAGTTTAGTTTAGCATTAGATTTAGACTTTAGATTTAGTGGGTTGTCGAGTGGCAAGCGGCAGCCGGAGGCCTTAAATGCATGGGTTGCACCTATTTTGGGGCACGGCTCTGGCCAAATGGAATGATCTTGTAGGTGTTTGTGCTCATTTCGCGATTGGGTTGAAAGAGGGGAGATTAAAGCGTAGATCGAGAAAGATTTTTGGGAGTTTTCCTTAAGTAAGAGAGCTTGAAACGCGCAGCGTGGGTTTTCCATTTAACATAAACTATATACGAAATGGGGCGGTGTAAGCGTGGACTTTACAATGTGTGGGTGGTGGCTTAATACAGTTTCGCTGCTTAATACTTTTTTATCTGGTTTCGGTATTGTCTGCTTGTATTTTCTTAATTTTCTTTGCTTTTCTGTTTTTGGTCCGGAGGTTGGAGGGTGGAAAATTCCTTTCGAGCTGGTTGCAATGTCAACCCAGCCTGGCTTAACCGAAAACTATAAGTTAAATGTTACAGCTTAAAAGAATACATTATCGTAGAAAATGTACATATATTCCCTTCAGGAGTGGGCTCTTAACGATTCGAGTGTTGAGTATTCTGCAGCACTTGGTACTGGGATCTCCAGCTCCTAAGAACTAAAAACTAAAACATTAATCCATAAAAAATAGATAAAACGATATCTTCAAGCGAGTCGGGGGCCAAACAAAAATATTTAGCCCTTACCTCGAACTTAGGCGGTAGGTAAATTAATAAAATACTAAAAACAAAGTGGTTGCAACATTGTAAAAATAATAAATTCGCTCAAACGAAAGGTTTTTCAACTACGGCTTCTCATTTTCCTGGTTATATGGCTATAAAAAATATCTCTCTCTCTGGTTTTTGACTCTGACTCTGTCTAAAGTGCATTTTGGGGGGTGTTGTTCTGTGTGTGTTCCTGCACATTCTGAGATTTTCTGTTCGTCTGTTCTTAAGTACAGCCTGTAAGTGCTGGCTTGGCTTTCCTAGCTTAATTTGGAAACATTTTGGCATTGAAGAAGTCGAAGGCGGGTGCGGAAGCTGGCGTGGTCTGCGGCGGGGGCGGCGGCGGCGGAGGCAGTAGCCCCGCATGATGGTGAAAGAACTGCGCCGCTGGTGGCTGACCAAAACCGGATCCAGGTAGTAATGGAGGCGGGTGTGGAGCCGGCGGACGATGTGGCTGTTGATTGGGAGGCGGCAGCATCACACCGCCTCCATTCCAGGAGAGTCTGTGATGCTGTTGCTGCTGCTGCTGGAAGGCAGCCATGGCCGCTAGATGCGGATGGTGGGGATGCTGATGATGCGGTGGATATTGGGGATTCCCCGCCGGAACCTGAGCCCGACGACGCCCCCGATTGCTGGCCGTCGTAGGCGGCGCCGGGGGATTTGCTCCTGGTTGGCAGGTGGGCGGCACTGAGGTGTCGCTTACCTATTCCCTGTACGGCTTGCAGTAGGAATACCGGTGGTTCATGTGCTGGCTGTAGCTGCCCGAGTGCGAGAATCGCTTCAGGCACTTGGAGCACTGAAAGGGCTTCTCACCGCTGTGCAGACGCTTGTGCTCCGTGAGGTGGTGCTTGTGCTTGAAGGCCTTCGGGCAGTCCATGCACTGGTAGGGTCTTTGACCTATGGAAACAACAGAAAACCATAAAATTAGTAAGGACTCTAAGAGATCTGGAGATCAAGCTAACTCACCGGAATGCTCGTATTTGTGTCGTGCCAGCGAACTTTGCTTGGCGAAGGCCTTTTCGCACTGATCGCACACGTAGGGCAAATCGGGATCACCCGCGTGTCCGTGGGTCTCCGCCTTGCCCCTCTTGGGTTTCGGTGGCATCAAGACACCGCCTCCAAACTCATCCTCATGCGAGATACGCGAGTCGTCGTCCCGCCACGAACGCTTCTCCGATCCACCGGGGCTCAGACTAGTGCCTCGGTAATCGTGCAGCTTAATACTGTTCATCAGGGGATGATTGGGAGCGTACTCCCCACCCGGGCGCATCTTAAACAGCGCCTCCATGGGCAACGGCATAGGCAGCATGTAGGGGGGTAGTCCCGGGAAGGCCTGACCACTTCGAGGAGTGGCATCCATTTGACTATTTGGTGGCGAAGGCGGCGGGGCAGCTGCAAAGTATAAGGCTGCCGCGGATGACGGTGAAATCGAAGCTGGTGACATCGATGCTGATGTGGAAAACTTCCTGCTGAGATTGATGGCCTCGGGATTTAAGGGCTCTCCCGATGGAGGAGCTATATAAGGAGGCGAGCTCTCACTTTTGGGTGTGAGGGGATCTCTCTTTATTGACAAATCCAGAGGTTGATCTTCTCGGGTTAGTGGAGCCTGAGATTCATTGGTCACCGTTGGTGCGGTGCCTTGATTGCTCTGGAAGCTTTGCATTTTGCGTTCCCTGGAGCGGTTGTTCTGGAACCAGACTTGAACCACTCGAGGATCCAACTGCAGACGGGCTGCTATCATGCGGAACTCCTCTCGACTGGGTCGGGAATTCAGGGAGTAGTGCTGCTTCAACTGCTGCTGCTGTTCCTCGTTAATAGCCGTTCGCACTCGGACTTTCCGTTCGCCACTTTCCTGCCTGGGTTCCTCCTCTATCTCTTCATCATCCTCGTCCTCTTCGCTGGCGGAGGGCAAAGCGAAGGTTGCAGCCTGTTGCTGCTGGAAGTGTTGCTCCAACTCCTCCTTGATCAAACCACAAAGAACCTTTTCATGTTGTACGAGCTCTGTGGGATGATTGAACTGTTTGGAGCAGCGACTGCAACGCAGATCGGCTGCTGGCTCTGGCTGAGCCGGTTCCTCCATCGAGATTTGAGGTTCTTCTGCCACGTTAAGGGGTTCTTGCTCCTGTTTAATGGCTTGAGGGGATGAAAGATATCCCTCTGGAGCGGGAGAAGCTTCCCTGCTTTCCTCTTGCTTGATGGGAGTAACTTCTACTGTGGCTTCCGGTGTAGACACTCTTTCCGCGGCCTCCGGCTCTTCGATGTCCATCACCAATTTTGGTTCATCGGCAGGCTCCTCCTCTTCCTGCCGCTGCTTTTGCTGCTCCCGTTCCTCCTCCCTTTGCTGCTGACCTGCAGCGGAAAGTTGCAGCAGTCTTTGGATGCTGTAGGGATGAACCCGAGGATCCAGGCTAGCTGCAGCGGCTGCCATAAAGTTATGAGGGAAGGCCAAAAGGGCGGCGTTCATGTAGTTCGTGGGGTGGAAAGGTGGGAAGGGCGTAGGTGCCGCATTTCCACCTTGGTTCTGGGCATCGCTGGCGAAATATATCATGGGATTGGGTAACCCGGGAAGAGTTGGCTGCTCTGGCAGCTTTGCATTTCCGTGATCAGAAGGCGATCGACGGGATCCCGAAGATCCAGAACCAGGACTCTTGTCCAGTCTCTTCAGTAAAGCACGATTGTTGTTCAACTTCAGACCCATGCTGATGCACTTCTTTGAAGTCATGTGCGAGGAGAAACTGCCCGAGTGCGAGAACCTCTTGCCGCAATTGTCGCATCCAAAGGGCTTCTCTCCCGAGTGGATCCTCACGTGCTCCTTCAGGTGGTGCTTGAACTTGAAGGCCTTGTCGCACTCCTTGCACTTAAATTTTCGCAGGAGCGCACTTTCGTCGTGACTGATCATGTGCCTCTGCAGGCGGTACACATTCGCGAAGGCCTTGTGGCAAATCCGGCAGGTCTGTAAATAAGAGATAAGATAAGATATGGATTAGATAAGATAATGCTATTGTAGCGGGAGTTTGAATTTGCACTTAAAACCAGCTAAAGAAATTTTGTGTTTGAACTAGAAAAAGTTTATCTTATTATTAAGTTATTAACCCTAGGACAGGTATTTCAACGGTTGAAAACATTTTGTAAACACTCTTGTATTTTTTTTTATAACTATCCAACTATCGCATAAGCGAAAACCATCTGCAAACAAAACTTCCATCTCTAGTTTCCAGCTTTTGCTGCCCACTCATCCGCTTCTTGCATTCTACGATCTTTTGTTTTCCCAGTTACCTTTTCTAGTGAAGAAGAAGAGAGCAAGAGAGCGGCAGCTGACATTGTTGTTGGAACTTGGGGCCACGCGCGAAAAAAAAAGAATGAAAAACGAAACACCAACGCACAGGTAATAAAAACTGTTTAAAACAACACGCGTATTTATTTGTTTTAAATTTAATGGCTTTCTAATTTGTTTCAAGGCAAGAAAAGCCACCACAAAGCGGACCAAATCAAAAGCGACCGCTGAATACGAGCCATTTTTTCGGTTTTTTTGTTTCTTGTGTTTATCCGAGTCGTAAAAGCGGATATTTTGTGATATTTTGATATTAGTGAATTGTGCAAACGTTTTCGAATTTAAATACGCACAAACTTCAGTTAAAAACTACAATTAAATGGGAAGAATGCGAAACGCGCACAGCACGAACAAACGCGGGGAATGAAATGAGAAAGAGAACCAAGCAAAGTGCGCGGCGGGTGGGAAAGAGATGACGCTTGTTCCAGTGAAGATAGATTGTCACTCCAAGAACAACAACAACAAAGCCTGCGCTCAGCTGTGCTGCGCTGCGCTGCTTTCCAATAAAAATTAAACTTCAATTGGAAAATTGCGACACACAAGGCAGATCTACAAAACAAACGGCCCAAAGTAAACAACAAAAAATGCATCTCATCAAAATGTTTCAACAGCTGATGCTAATCAAATTTTCGGTGTTTCGGGGGCCGTTTTGTTTGTGCTTTGGTTTGATTTGTTTGGCAACAAATTGAACGGATCAAATGCCTAAAGGTGGAAATAGAAATGGAAATGGAAAGGAAAACGAAAGTGCAGCGCCGCTTTTCCCCGCTTTCCCGACTTTCCGTCGTCTTCCACTTTTCCACTTAGCGGCTGCGTTGAAAGATTTGCGGTACTTTGTCGGACAGATGGCAACACGTGTTGTTGTCCCCCTCCCACCTTCTATCGCATGTGTGTGTGCTTGCGTTGTTTACCGTTCAGCCGTTGAACTTTCAATTTATTGCTGTGTTACCTTCGTCGCATCCAGCATTTTCCAGTTGTTATTATTGCAAAGTTCATGACATTCCAGTTCGTTATCGGAATGAAAATAAGCCGTGTTTGTAAAACAGTGGGAAATCACTAAATTATACAGTTAATATTAACTTGTATTTACAAGTTCCACTGTATTTTTTGGACTTTGACTCCGCATTTGAGGTTAAGGTAACGCTTACTCATAAGTCCCAATTAACGCACTTTGCGCCATTAGTCATTATCATCAACTCGCAGCCAATTTACCCTCTCAAGATGAGATCACTCAAAAAGAACTATTACTATGTATTGTAATTAGTTTGTTCGCTAACGTGACACGGTGTTTATTGTTTTAGGCGTGTTGAGGAAAAATAATACATTTATAGCGCAGGCCTTCTAATTTGTTTTTACTGCTGCCGATGGTAGAGAATAAACGGAAAATGTTTTTCCCCATTTCGCTTTTCGTTTCGACAGCAATAACAATTTCCGTTTCCGTTTGTTATTTTACCTGTGACGTCACCGCCGGACCCATTTTCCGAAAAAAACACCATTTTAATGCGACCATTTGTTCGTCAGGTGAGTGAGTGCGATGAACAGCTATAATATACAAATGGCCACCTGTTGGCTCTCTCTCGCTCGCATACACTCTCACACTCATACAGTTGAAAACCCGTTATCTCCGCATGGAGTCGGGGCTATCTCCATCCCTCTCTAAAGTACCCACATAATCAGGTTGGTCGGTTGTAAACCGCAATACGCCTACCTAGAAATCAGAAAACGTACATAGAACCACAGAACCTAGAAATGGGACAGTGAAAACAGGCTTTAGGGAAACACTTTTCACTTTTTTACTTGAACAATGAATTTGTAAGGTTTTTGTGGTTGAGAGAAACTTTTAGGATCACGATAATCACGTGGTTAAAGTATTTTAACTTAAAACGCTTCTATTTGCAGACGTATTTAGTGCAACTATCGAATCTCCACTGTACACACCTCCCTGAGCGGACATTAAACCGCAGCAGCAGCTCACAATGAACGCGCTTTGTTGTCGTCGGCGTTATCAATTAAATGTAAAGCGAGGCGCAGTGCAAACGAAATGGAAATGAAAATGGCAGCCGTGAGATACGCCAGATACACCACTCACACAGATACTATATACAGATACTTCATATTGTATGTATGTGTAAGTACACAGTGCACACGTTTACAAAAGGTGAGTTCCATTTGCGATGCGTCAGCCGGATTCTTCTTATGCGCTTTTGTTGTTACAGTTTGTTATTATTATATTTGCGATGAGCGGAAATGCCAATTGAAGCTACCTTTAACAAAGCCCCATGAAGATGCCCGCCCCCGGGGGTTAACTGATGGACAGACGGATGGATGGACGGACTGTGTGCATGACTCAAGTGTTTTTCAGGGGAGCCACTCGAGCCAAAGTTGAAAATTGATTGATTCCACTAAGCGAATGGCCCGCGCACATGGAAATGGAAGCTAAAACCACTCGAGTGTTCGAGGTACAGTCTAACCTCCGTGGCATTAGTGTCGATAAGCCACGCACACGTGCGTACTACGTCTGCCCCCCGTCCGCCTTCTTTTCCACATGTTGCTAGACGCTCGATTAATTAAATTTCATCTGAATTGTTCGAAATGTAAGGGGATGGAGTGATTAGGAACATTACACACGAAAAAACTTTGCTATTTTCGTTAAATTTCTATGTAAAAATGATGTAATTTGGTCCTTCGATATGGTTAAATCTAGAAATTGTTGTTCCACTTTTGATCCCTGGCTTAAATACCCTTCTGTGTATATCGGATAAACTATAAGATTTTCCCAGTGCACTTTCACTATTCACCTTAAATAGGCGTATTAATTTTCAAGAATATTCGGGGTATTTCAGAGCTGATAAGAGCTCACTATCACTATCAATCGATCCCAAAGAGGCGCGTGTGCTCGTAAACAAACAGCACGCCAAGCGGATCAGGGTCGGCGGCTCAAGATGCGGATAATCAGCGAAAACAATAACTAACCCCTCTCCATCTCTTTTCGTTTGCAGATAACGGCGATCAGGTGAGTAGAAAAATAAATATTAAAGATATTCGAAGAGCAGCGGGTGGCTGGCTGCTTATCAAGAAGTTATCAGTTCGAAATTCCGAGAAATCGAGGCGGAAACTAGCGACCACACACAGAGGCAGCGTCTTCAAAGCGCTCGTCAAGTCTAATTGTACTGGGCAGCATGTGAGGATGGTCCAGCGGTTGCATTTTAGCCTGGTTAATTGCAGGCGACAGGCCTTTTGGCTAAAATTATAACGCAACGTAGGTGGGCTCCTGCTTCGCTGTTCCCCACCCACCCACATTAGACAAATCAAACGAACGAGTCCCGCAAAGATAATGTCTTGTCGCAGACAGAGGGCTAATTTGTGAACGTATTTCACTATTGCTGGCTGAAAAATGCTTTATGCAGTGAGTGACATGGGAATTTGGCCATAATAGCGCGCATAATTGGCCGTAAAAGATGATCGGCCAAAGGGAGATCGTTCGGCTTTCAAAGTGTCAACCCCAAAGGCAAGCAAACAATGTTGACAAATACCGAACAGTGTCGAGGTGGGGAATACTACGTATGGATACAGTGGGGTTCGAAACTGTAGTCTGTTAGTATCTTTTAGTATACAAATAGTGTGATTATTCGAATCTATGAGTGCAAAAAGCTCAAACCCATATAGATGCGTTACGCACTGTATCCGGTTTATCCACACAGACTTGTCTATATAGTATCTGATAGATATAGAGGCGCACCTGTCGCCTGACGAAATGCGTAAACAAAAATAACAAAAAGCGACAAGCTCAAAGTTTTCTGCTTCTGTTTCACTCTGCGAGATTCTTTTTGAGGTCAAGCGAAAAAGAATAATATTAACGACGCCACAAGAAATGTTTAGCGAAAAAAGATGAAACGAAGAGCGAGGATGCGAGTGGAAAATACGAGGAACATAATAGTGTCTGATCTCTAACTGCTTTATAGCGAAATACGCGACGACCCAATTTCTCGCTTATCGCGCCGCAGCTGCCGCCACACACGAAAGTAGTACGTAGAATCAGAATCAGTATAAGTATCTGAGGAATACTGATTAGGGATTCAAATGAATGAATCCCCATGTCGGCCATTGACGTACCTGATCTATGTGGAGACGGAAAGAGAACTAATTGTAGTACATCTGAGAATCAAGAGGCAAGTTGGGGTTATCTCTCTGTGATAAGACGAGGTGGACTCAGATCGAACTTCAGATCGGTTAATTTATTGTCTCGGCTGTGGACAATGGGTGACTTTGTTACGTATTGCTGGCTGGGTTCATTAACTTTCCTCGGCGCGATCATCTCTGCATTAATACCAATCCCATTGGGAAATTGATTAACACGCGCAGTTAACAGGGAAATACTTTTAGCCATTGCGGTCGCTCTGCTGCCGCATTTCTCAATATTTTATGGCCGTTTCACTCGCTTTGTGCAGACGACAAACAAATAATTTCTGACTTTCTGCTGCAGCAGCGCTGGGATTTAAAATTATTAATTTTCCATAAATCATCTCGAGTTCATTGGGAAAACTTTGCTGAAATTTTGTTTCAATTTTTCTCGTGCTCTTTAGCCGAAGCAAAAGCTGTAGCTGTGTCTGTTTCGTTTTCGATTTTCATTCGCCAACGCAACGACAAATCAAATTTAATTGTTTATAAATAAAACGTTTTCCTCAATGATGATGATGCCCTGATTTTCCCGCCAACAAGAGACCTGCGAAATTAGTTGCGTATTAGGAAAACATAAATTAGGCGACGCCGCGGTATAAATTAAATTTATCACTCTTGATAAAAGCCGCAGTCTTGGGAAATTAAGGAAACGTGTCGCGGAAAAATATGATTTTCAGGCCAGCAGCTGCTACTCTCCGCATTATATATTTTAAGCTTTTCAGTGTGTCTTGGGGATTTTTCAATTATCTATTCAGAGAAATAATTTTAATGCTTCTTATGTGGGTTCTCTGGCTTTTAAGTCGTTATCGCTTTTAGCTGGAATTTATATTATCTCAACGAGTGTCTCAATCAGCGCTCTTTTCCCTGGAATTACCTTCAACTTTTGCTTGTTATTCTGCAGAACATTCGGGGTTTTATTGTAGTCTTAAAACTTTTAACAAGTTTCCTTTAACTTCGATATGAGATAGTTTTAATCATTTAAGAGCTCTTCCAGCGACAGTCTGCTGGAGTCTTCAACCCTTTGAAGAATTTCCATTAAAACCATTTCAAACTGCAGTCTTAAACTTCTCCTGCAACTTTCTCAGGAGTCGTTCCCAAGTGCAATCTCTTCTCACAATCAGACTGCCCAATGAAATGTCAAGTGCTCTAGTACTACATATACTTTCACCCCCTCCGACTTTCCAATTCCCTTTCTCCCTGCGCGGCAGAGCATTTCTCATTAAACATATCAAGTAACAACCGCACAATAAACGTCACAAGTGAAAAAACCCACGGGACTTGCGTCGAGGAAAACTCGGGAGAAGTCGGGGGGAATCGTCTGAGGAATTTCCATGTGAGAAACTGCGCCACAAGCGGAGCCACATAATTTATGGCCCTCACGGTGAAAGTTGATATAAATCTCAGGAGTAACTTAAAAATGAAAGAAAGAAGAGAACGAGAAGTTTAAATTGTGGCCCAGCGACTCTGACATGTGGAAAAGTGCAGGTGTAAAAGAAAACTGGGGGAAAATCCAGGGGATATCCTCAAGGAAACAGGAACTCCCAATGATGATGATGATGATGTTTTGGGGGAATGAGAGTGGAAACCATAAAAAATGATCCTAAGACAGGGGTTTTCTTTTGAGAACTTAAAGTGGAAATGGAGATGAGAGTATTTTCAAACTAATTGCAGTCATTTGAGGATGATCACTAACTAAAAGAAGATGATCAATAATCTGTAACCTCGTTTTTAGATAGATAATAAACCGTAAAACCTGTAGCCATATTTCATCCGACTAATTATAATATTTTAAAAGTCATTTAACCACTGACCATAAATTGTAGCTTCGTTTTGTTTGGAAAGTTTTTAATTTGTTTGCTTTAATTGCGAATAATTCCGAAACTTTTAGCAGCAGTAAAGGCTGGCTCCCCGTCACCTTTGACCTTACAGTGCCCGCAGAGAAGCATAAAAATACATTTAAAAGCGGGCAGACGAGCAAATAAAGGGTTGAGCGAAATAAATTGCTATTAATTTTTCACTCGCCCGGTTCGTCAAGCGGCGCCGAGAAGACGACGACCCAATGTGTGGATATGTGGAGTCGCAGGACTCGCTGGACTCGCAGGACTACACCTAAAGTGCATATAATTTTTCAATTTGAATTGTCTGCTCCCTGCCCCATTTTGCGGCGGCCAAAAAGGTGGCAAACCGGAAGCGGAAAAGCAGAAGGCCAACCCACCAAATGAGTTGTGGCCAAAAAGTTGCAGCCATGTGCGTTTGCAGTTAAGCAAATATTTAATTGCTGCACTTTTTCTGCTGAAAGTTGGCCAGGACTTCTGTGCTTTTTTTTTCGTTTTGGTTTTTCTGACATAATTTATGGCCTGCCATTTGCTCGACCGTCTGCCCCTTTTTGACTCTTACCCCGGTTAATGATGTTGACCTTAAAAACAAATGTTGAAATGTTGCATCAACAATGTTGGATTGATACCCCCCCTGTCCTGTCCTGTGCCTTATTTACCCTTTCGGCCATGTTAATGCCTTTTCAATAAAATGGTTGCCTACTTTTGTGAGTCGACAGCCTGATTTCCATAATGAGCCATTTGTCTCGCTGGCAGCGGCGGTAGCGGCGGCATTATTGTTATTTCTGGCACTGTTTTTGTTTGCCGCATAATTAATTGTTTTCACACATAATAATTTAATACGGCGAACACGTGTAAAGCCGATGGCCAACAATATTAAATAAATGCAATGTGCCACATCAATTATAATTGGTTTGTCCGTGTAGTTTGCCTATTTGGCCATGTGTCAATGTGGCTGTTGCCATTTTGGCCTTTTCGCATGTGTTTAAATGTTTAAATGTCATTAACAAAGCCGTAAATTATATGCACCCAGAAGTGGGCGGGTCTTTGGGCTTGGTCTGGCCAAGAGGTACAAAACGGAGTTGCAACTCATAAACCTGCTCTTCAGCGCCGGAGTTGGCCAACTTTATTAGCTTTTTGCCAGGCTGGCAATCATCGCAGCTTAGGTAAATATTAATAACGGACAGCAGTCGTGAAAAAAGTGGCAAAAAGCAAGTGATGGAAGGGAGACGGCACAGTGGTTGTTACCAGGAGAAAAGTGAATAAAATTGGGAAAACTTTGTTGCCTCTACAGAAAGGCCTTAAAATAGAAATCTTCAAATTAGGATTAAGTTGTTAATGAAACATTTAACTAGAGTATGAAAATTCTGTATTAATCACATATAAAACCAATCCATTCTTCATTAAGTTCCACTGTTTTAGGAAAAAACCGTAAACTCATCTCGTACTTTTTCGGGGGTGTCAAACTTTTTCATTTCGCTTGCGCTCTCACATGGAGAAGGTGAAAGATACGGCCCCCCAAAAAACCATCATACAGGAAAAACAACAACAAACTAGCCATATGAATTTATGACCAAGTGAGGAGGGGAAAATCTGTGGAAGGGAGGGGGTGTGCGAGTATGTATTGGGGGAGTGCAGCAAAATTATAATTTATGTGGCTTTAATAGCCGATGGGTAGCTCCAAGGTGAACCAGTCGCAGTCCCAGGGTCTGCCTTCCCTTTTGCCTTCAACCTCTGACCCATCTTTGCTGGCTTCTTATCGCGAGTGTGACGTCTGAGGCAGGCCTGGTTTTCTTTTTACAGCTCATATGTGGCAAGATGGCGACGAAGGACAGGAAAAGCGGAGGCGAGAAGAAAAACAAGTGGGCGGGGTCGTGTGGTTAGGTGTTATCAGGTTCCACTTGCCCGTAGCAACATTTATTTTAATGCCTTATCACGAAGGCAGAAGGAAGGCCTTAGAAAAAACGAGGCAACAAAACAACGAAACAACAAAAAAACGAAACAACAACTGCACAATTGGGAGTTATGAGCCTGTGAGTGACAGCCTTTCCCCATATTTTTATACATTTTTTATACAGGTCCCCTTCTGATAACACCCCCAATTGTTTTTCTCCGTCGCCGCCATTGGGGAATTTTCGTTTTTACTATTTTCTCCCTTACTTCGGTGAACGCCTACGTTTTATTTTTATGCCCCTTATCATAGTTTACTGTACTTGTTGTTGTTCTTCTTCTTTTTTCATGCCGATAAAACAAAGGGCAGGCGGTAGGCGATAATAATGAGGTCTGTTCCTTAAGCGTTTCCTTCGAACAACTTTAATGCGTGCACGGAAAAAAACTGACGGTTAATTAATATCCCAACTGATTAGAAACATAAAAAAGTTGATCTTAAAACATATTTCTACGTTTTGTTTTGACGATTTGTCAACAGGAAATGGGCTTAAGGTTTCCAGAGTCTCAGTTCGGTTGGGATGGGATCGGATTGGATGGGATTCTGTACTTGGCACCGCTCTCCCGTTATCGGTTGGCTCATTTCCCGTTAGCCGCGAACAATGCCCACGCATTGTACTAACCGCGCCGTGATGTGTTCAAAGATCAAGTGCCACAAGTGCCCCAAGTCGGTCTCTGATTATGCATGAGTAACGAGCCACGAACCCTAACACGTAAGTCTCTAAAAGAAGCGAGGGATAAGACCAAGTGCCTCTGCTTATCACTGCTTCCAGGAATGCGAATCTCCAGCCAGCATTCTTCAGGTTTAGTCACTGACTTCCAGGGGCTGTGAACTGATTGTCTTTGGAGACGCAGTATTATGGGGATTTCAGAAATGTTATTTTTCATGTGGTGACTCTTTCAAATTCATTATCCCCACAAATATTTCTGGGAAATATTTATATTCAGGAGATAAAGTTGTTTCATACTGAAGTAAAGGCTTTTTAAATGAATATTTTCGAGAATAAAATGAGCTATCTTTAAGCTATATTATTAGCCTCTGGAATAATATTCTTTCTTGGAAATGCAAAAACAAGTCAATAATCTAGTTCTTTCGAGAAACACTGAAAGGCAGCTTCTCTACGAAAACAAGTCTGTAATCTTCGGCGTTGTTTTTGGCTGCTTAAATCGTAAATAGTTAGCTAAGTAGCTTGCCAATGGCTCCCTCCTTAGAAACTAATACTCAGTAAAACCCAAACTCACCTGAGAGACACTGGTGCCCGCCGTCTGGCCGCAGGGCAAGTGGAGTTGCTCGTGCTGCTCGAGTTGCTCGCGACTGGCGAAGGAGGCGGTGCACTGCATGCAGGGATAGGCGCCGCTCAGATCCCCGGTGGTGGAGCCCGGACTCGAGGTGGACCGCGGGGCACTGAGATCCAGGTCGTAGGCGGAATTGCTGCCCACGCTGCTGTTGCTGCCGGGCAGTTGGGGTGGCAGCAGTTGCTGCATGGCCAGCTGCTGCTGATGCTGCTGTTGCAACTGCTGCTGCTGCTGCTGCTGTTGCTGCTGGCTGGGCGAACTGGCGGATCGGGCGGTTTGCATGGCGAAGGAGGCGGCGGCGGCCATGAACTGGGCGTGCAGGTGGGGTGGCAACTGGGGCGGTGGGTGATGCAGCTGGGCGAACAGGTCGCTGTGGCTCAGCGATCCAGGTGAGCACATTGGTGACATCTTGTTGGTGCTGTTCTGGTTCTTGGCCAGCTCACTGTTGTTGTTGTTGATGTTGCTGCTGGACTGGTTGTTGCTGCTGCTGGTGACCGGCGACTTGGTGAACCGTCTACTGCTGCCGCTCATGTTGCTCTGCTCGTCTTCGGCATCGCTTTCCGGCTGGGCAGCTCCGCAGTTCAGCTTGTCGTGGGGGTGCTCGCTGGCAATGTGTTCGGTGAGGGACTGCAAAAACGGAAACAAAAAGTTGTTCGTTTTATAAATGTTAAGTTGTCTTTACTTATCACTGTTTGATTCATAAAAAACCTCCTCTTATCAGCTCGTGAGCTACTTAATTGCAATTCAAAATACACGAAAAATACTCTAGGTCTAGCACAGGTCAACATCAGGCATTCAGTTTAGTACTTCCGCACTTTTATAGGTTTTGCGAACTTAGATCTTTTATTAGTCATACTTTAGTGTTGAATCATTAGAATAGAACGAGGATTCCAGAGAAGTCAATCACACGCTTCTGTTCTTACTAATTAGCCATCTTAAAAACTAGTTTGTTCTTCTCAAAACTCACCTGAAACTCTGTGAAGCGCTTGTGGCACTGGGTGCACTTGACCAAGAAGGCATCTGCAGCTGCACCTGGCTGGTTGGGGTGGGCGTCCTGGATCCCAGTGGGTCCCGCGTTGCTGTGCTTCGGCGACTGGTTGTGGTGGAGCAAAGTGGCGGCCAGCGAGGGAACTGTGGAGGGTCGTGAAGGGGAAGAAAACAAATTAACTGCCAGATCGTTTAAGAACCATAAAATATGCAAAGGCAAACTGGAAAACTGGAAAGCCAAATGGGAATTATGGAGAGCTTGAGTGGGGCGAAAGACTAACTGAGGTGCTGCCAAGTGCACTGAGAGAAATCAAAGGGGCCTATGTCTTAGCATCAGAAGACTTAAGAATGTATCTGAGTATCTTAAGTTTCTTTCTGTGTTCCCAAGAACTGGTGTACCGACTTAATTTCGTGGCAAATCAACTTCGCAGGCCTTCACGCAAGGCTGCAATCCGGAGAGGCGATGATCTCATGGTTTCTTTCGATCCGCCAAAGAAACCGAAAAGAAAACAGAAACGGAAAGAAGAACCGAGAACGGAGAACGGAGAAAAAGAAGTGGCAGAATGGAGGCAGACACGCACACACTCGAGAGAGAAGAGTTGACTTAATCAGTTGAAAAAAGCGTTCAACCATGGCGAAGAGTAGAGAGAGACGGGCTGCGGAGAGTGGAAAGAGAGGGAAGACGGGCCAGAAGATTGCTTTGTTCCCTGGAGGGTCACTCAATTGCCCTCTCACTCTCGCAGTGAAACTTTGTATCTGTATCTGTATCTGTGAATGTGTATCTGTATCTGTATCTGAGAAGGTAATACCACAAAATGGAGTTTCTGTTCTCTGGGTTTCTGTTCGTTTTTCCCACTGAAGAAAGAGTATGGGTAGGGAGTGCACAACAAGGCGAGTCTTTGTTCTCTTTGCCATTTGATCGTTACCTTAATTTAAGCCAATTAACTGGCGGCAGACGAAGACAGATACTCAGATACGGGCATTCGAATGAATGAACCCTGTTTTATAGCCACCTTTCTGCCAGAAGTATCTGTATCTGAGGGCTGTCGGTTCAATCAAGCGCAATCTACGAAAGTTCATTGCACGTTTTCACTTTCGATAGTTGCAATCTTAATTGATTTCGATGCGGGTTCTGATCAAAAATGAATTATAAACGCTGATGATGATGATGATGATGATGACGATGCCTCCCACCTTGTCACTTAAGAAGCCATTAAAAGCCATTATAGGACAACAGCTGACATAGCTATAGATATATATCTGTACAAAGATAGATAGTATATATAGAAAGTTCATAATTTTCCCAAGTCCAAGAATTTATATCGCTGCGCCTGGCTAATGACATTTTTATTGAAAGTTGTAAAACGGCAAGGCAACACTTTTTTATGGCCCAACATTTTGTTTCATCAACATAATGTGCTTCAGGGGAAAGTGTTGAGGGGGGGAAACGTGCAACTCAACAAGTGTGTCACCAGCTCATTTAGCCCAATCAATGCCCCACAACCGACTTGAATCGAGTGAGGAATTATTAACGCAATCGGTTTTACACTTTTATTTACCACCCCCTCCCACCCGTCGCCGTAACGCCGTTCTGAAATATTGAAAGTGTCCCGCAAATTAATTTCAATTTATGCGCAGCCGAAACGAAATGAAAGGAATTTCTTGTATTTGTTTCTGCGGAACGGAACTCGACAGTTTTTTGTATATTTTCATACGTTTGGTCTCATCTTTCAGTTCGCTTCCCCTTTCCCCTCCTCCTCCCGAGCTTTCAACTATTTTGCGCTTAACGCGGACCAATTGAAGTTGATTGATAGTGTTAGGTGTGTGTGGGGTGGGGTGGGGTGGGGCAGGCAAATCGGAAGGGAGACACTGCCAGACATCTGAATTGCTCAAAGAAGAAGGGATTTTTAATCTATCAACGAAACTTCGAAGCTTTCTTGACAGTCCCAACTAATTTCTCAATTTATATTATTTTTATTTCCCAAAAACCAAACAATATAAAAATATTAAAGTAAAAGCCACGAATCTCCTGCTTTGACAGTTGCCAAAACGTTGATTGGGGGGCATTATATTTTTTATATTTCGGATTTAGGAGGGGGATTCTGTGGCAATTTATGGGCGGCCACACGTTTGCCAAAAACAAAGCAGAAACGCCAGCAATCAAAGCTGGATGGCCAGCTGCCGAGGGGAAATCTTCTGGAACGATGTCAAGTGTTTTTCCTAGCTTTTTGGTTCACCTGTGCGGTGGAAAACACGCGCACACATGCCCATGGGCGGATGTGGGGGAGGAGGTCTGAATATTATAAATAATACGTAGATGGGCAGGCGGCGTAAATCAATGGCAAAATAACCGAGAAAAGATACATTTGTATCTGCAGCATAGGCACCCCAGATACACCCACTAATTTAATGTGCTTTTTTTATTGCCAACTTTTATTAGCCAGACATATTTCGACTAAGCCCGGCTAATGCAAATTTATTTATCTTCCCCTTGGCCGTTTTTCTCCTTTGAATTTTATATTTTCATCGTCTAATTTATTTGCTTTCGCATTTTCCACCTGACTTTTTCTCCGTTTTCCCCCGTCGTCAGCGGCCAAAGTGTTTTTTAATATTTCACTGACAGCCGATTGTCACGACAATTTTCGGGCCAGCGCCGACAGGTGAGGGAAATTCTTTTCGAAGTCCACCGGAAAATTGTTTAGCGATTGCTGACGCAGTTGCAGACAAATGGACGACAGGTGGCGCCTTCTGGCCAAAGGGGGAGAGTGATGGGGAAGGAGGGAGTAGGGGGGCATACGGGCGATGATATTTAATGCAAATAAACATAAATTTTAGCACTTAATTATAAACAGACCTCCGGGCCTGCACTCATTTGCAGTCAATGAACGTGGTTAGCATATTTGCGATATAAATCGCCTGCAAATGAGACCGAGTGCAAAAACACTTAGTTCAGAGCTAGCTAATTGCCGTTGAAAACTGAAAAACGGGAAAACGACACTATCAGACAGTCGCCATTAATTTGTAAATGAAAACCTGTGGGAAGGCTTTGGGGCTCCGCTTTGGGCAGTTCGATCGCTCCGGTTTCAGACGTGCGAATATTTATCGGCGAAATCGTCCCGTACCGTCTCTGCCGCCGTCTCAGGAATTCTCCGGAGGGTCCGATCTCAAGTGGCAATCGGTTTTAAAGACACATGTGAGCGGCATATGGAGTTGTCCCGATAATCGCTCTAAATTTGGAATACTCTTTCGGGGTCTTACCTACCTAGAGATTAAGGCACTGCGAACAATTTCTTGTACCAAAGAGAAGCTGCTTAATGGAAGATGATAACTTAAATAGCAGCGTTTTCCCTCAGTGTAGCACCTTTGCCCTGGTCTACTCTCCACTTTCCGAATGGGCACAAAGGTGCCCACGTTGTGCCCCTTCAAGTGGCAAATGCAAAGGTGCAGATTCGGAGCCAGACGATCGCCTATAAATAGAGTTCTCCTTTCTGGCTCTCTGCCCTTTTGCTTTTATTTGTTTGTTCAGCAAGCTGATGCTGCGTGCTGCATGCTGCATACGGCATGTTGCACGTTGCACGTTGCTAGTTGCTGCTGCCACGTTTATTTTATTTGTAGCATTTTGCTTTGCTGAGTGTGAAATTTTAATAGCCAAGCGAGCCGTGTCCGTGTTCGTGTCCCTGTCCCTGTCCTTTCCCTGTCCCTGTCCTTTTTCCCCTGTATTCGTATATATAAATGGATATAGGAGGCATATCTGGAGGGTAGGGAGAACATATGTGTGTCCCGGGGCGAACTATTTCTGCGATTTACCTTGAAAAAATATGCAGAAATGCGTGTGATGTCGTGGTGTGGGCGTTTGAAATCGGAGTTGCGATGCGTTGGCGGGCAGAATGCAATTAGAGGAACATGCCGCAGAGGTGTTCAAAGAAGGGCTATCCCTGAGATACTTTTGTATCTTCTTTCCCTATATATGCTTCTTGGAACCAAACCAATAACTTGAAACTTTAATTTGTTTACAAATAAGCAAGTTAAAGATGATAAAAAACTCGATCTCAAAATATCTATATACCAGAACAGCACTTAATTAATTCAGAATATATAACCAAAGTTCAGCTTAACTTGGCTAATTGATATTCACTCCGTTCTCGGTTCGTGTATAAATTCTGCTCTCCATCCTGGCTGGAAAAAACTCCGAATAAAGCCCATCGAAGGCAATTGAAAGTTTTTCTGCTGCCGCGCCACCACAATAGAGTCGTTGACTATTTTTGTTTATTTAAAACTTTTAACAATTATTGTGCAATTGTGCGAAATTTATTGCAATTGAACGCCAATCAGAAGGGAAGCGGGCCCTTTTCCCTGCGTTTTTCACTGCGCTTTTCCCACTGCCAGTTACCCGTTAACCAAAATCGTTTACATGTTAAATTGTGCCTGCTGAGGGCTCCCTTTTTTATTTTTAGAGCCTCCTTTTTGGCGCTGCAATTTTGCCTGCCCTTTGGCAACACCTTTTTTTCGAGAGGGGGCTGCTGGTTGGGGGTTTGGGGGTTGGGTGGTTGCACCCTTTTGTTTGCGCCGATTTTTTGGCACTTTTTTCGGGGGTAGCACGGGAATTGTTGTCTCGCGGTGCTCGGCGGGCATTAAATAAATAAGAAAAAATATTCGCAAGGAGGCGGGCTGCATTCCGTGCAATTTTCACTTTACAACTGTTTCAAAGTTATCTTTGTTTCAATTGTGTGGCGCAACGGCAGCGGCAGTGGCAGTGGCAGTAGCAGTAGGGGCAGCAGCAAAAAAGAGCAGCAAAAAATATTGGCAAACAATTTACTTTTTGGGCAAAATGCGAAATAAAAGCAAAATGTGGCAAATAATTTGCCCAAAGCTGCGGCAGGTTGAACACGGACTAAAGGGAATCTGCAGCAGGATATCAAAGAGGACTTTCCCCTCATTGATTTATTGTCTTTTTGTGTTTGCTGAGGATCTGCTTTTCTGCTCCTCCCCTTAGCTTTTCCTGGCTCAATTGCAATTTAAAGGCAAGCCCTCCTCGAAATGTGTTTATTTTTGGGGAAAGTTGGCCAGAATCTTGAAGTTGTTCAGCACTTGAGATAGGCATCGGCAGGATTAATCATCTTTGCATGCCAGTTGCCAGATAGTTTGGGGCCAAGTTTGTTTAATTTCGATTACCAGCTGGCGCAGGGAAGGTCCTGTCGGCGGTGAGAGATGCAGGACGAGCCAGGAGTTATAAATGGCAGCACCGACAGCACCAGCATATAAAACTGACATCCACTGACAGGACCCAAAATGATTAATTAGCCCCGAGAAAATCCTATTTCGGAGATACTTCACTGTACTCTGTATCCCAATCAAAGATGCAAAAGTCAGATAAATGTTTAATTTCGGGCAGAAAGACGGAAAATTCAATTCAAAACAAGTTTGATGGGTGGAAATTAGCGCTGATTTAGTGGCCACGAGTCGGAAGATAAATATATCTAATATACGTATTAAAGGGGCGTAGCCGAAGGTGATAACAGGCGACAGGTTTTCGCCAGGGCGAATTGTTTGATTTATGGCATTTTGGAGCCATTTCGAAATGCGACACAACACACGCTGAGCAGCCGGGAAATTAGTACAAGTTTTCCCCTGCTTTTCCAAAAAGCCAACAGAACAGAATTTCGTGTGTAGCCGGCGATTAATATCCATCGCAGTCGCAGCTGCCCAGCGCCATCAAAAAGTTTGGCCAGGCCAGGGAAAAGAGAGTATATAGATACATTTGTATCTGCAAGTATGTGGGCCAACCTGTGCTCAACAACGTCTGATCGATTAGCCGAACTATCTTGTTCGAGGGCTTTTAGTTCCGCCCACAGAAGGCAGAAGTCAGAAGGCAGAGGGAGAGGGAGAGCTGCTTAAATAGCCATAAATTATAATTTATGGCTGCGGTGTTGCCGCTTTTCCTACCGAACATGTGCAATTAATCCGTCTCTTTAGCTGGCTTATCAATTGTCAGAGCGGCGAGCAGGGAAACAAACGTGGGCGTTCCCTCGGAAAACTGACCGTCTTGCGCCATCCCCAATTTCCCATTTCCCCCATTGAGCATTTCCAATTAATTCCTAGTCTTTCACACCTTCCATTTAAACCGATGAGCTCTGGCCACTGACAGTTTTATGCTTTGTTTACACTCGATAAACAGGGTCTTGAGTGCTGACCAGCAACATGGCCATAAAACAGGTTCCTCACTGGTGAATGGCGGTGAAGCCTCAGAAGGTCGACCGCAGTTCCTACCTGTCCAACCTGCGCATGCGGTTTTCCTCGCTAGGGGTAGCTACCTGTGCTGGCAGTGGGTGGAGATTATTGCCAAGGCGGCGGCTCTGTTTCGGCGGTGCCAACAAATCAAATTGAAATGTGGCTGCAATTGGTTGGCAAATAGGAGGAAAAGAGAGGTGGCTACCCCTTGAAGGCTGGGTGAAAATTGAATGCTATTACCCAAGATCGATGGGGTATCTTTCAGGTCGGAAAAGCTTGATATAGGAGGGTTCCCCAAGTGTGTTCCTTAAAACTTGAACAGCTATAGATACATTATGGTTCTAGTTAATCCAACTTCAACTCGTTTCAATCTCAAGGATAGTTTTCATCTTCTTTTAACATCTAACATCTAATAGTATTTTTACCTTTAAAGGTGAAGCAATCAAAATACTGAAAAGTATAAGTGATTTAAAGATCACACTTTCACCAAATTCACACTTTAACTGGACTTTCTAAGAGCTTTGAATTTCTTTCAGTGTTGATCAGCAAACTTTGTTGGGTTCCCTCTCCTAAAAACCAGAGTTGCTGCTCTGCGTAGGAGTAGGAGTAGGTAATTCGAGACCTGCTTCGATCCTTACTCGTTTTTTACGTTTTCCTTCTTTGTTTTCCTACAGTTTCTTGCTACAGTTTTGTGCTCCCCTGAGGTAAAGACCACACATACCGGGCGGGCTCAAGATGGCGATTCTGAGAAACTGCTAAGCTTGCATTTGAATATTTGAGGCTCTGAATCTTTCGTTCCCGCGCAAATCACTGAGACAAAGTTCGATTTGATGGCCTAGCTGATACCGAGTTCTGGATGAATCATCGCAGATCTGGCCCGGAGGTGGATCACTTACACTGCATGGTGAAGGCGTTGGTGGAGGGCATGCTCTGCTGAATGATGGTATCCTCTTGGCCGAAACGTGAAGACGACGGCGCCAAACAGGACAACATTTGGAATGCTTGTTGTAACACTTGATCTGCTTTTGATTCGGATAGTTTTGGAGTTGGTTTTTAGTGGGTTCTTCTGGGCTTTTCAATTATTTTCTTTGCTTTCTTAAAGAGCACACACGTGTGGCGGCCATTGGGGCAAGGGCCTTGGGTTTTTATCTGTTAAACATTTGAAACACTGTTGGTTTTTTTGCGCTGCGAGTGTCGCGGTTGTTAGTGGTTTTATTTGTGTTTTTTTTGGGCGATATTCTTTAGATCTATATGCTATATAGGCGTGATTCTCTGCGTGATTCTACTGTGTGTATTCTCAGAGTTTTCTCTGTGGGGGAGCGACGCGTGTGCTGCCGTCGCGACGTCTACGATGCAACTGAATTCACAGACTCAACTTTCGCAGCATCAAACCGAATCCGAATACAAATCCGAAACCGAAACCGACGTCCTCGTCCGTATCCGTCGGATGCGAACTGAACATTTCGGGTAGTACGGGGTTCTACGGGGCTCTACTTTTCAACGGAGAGAAGAAGACGCAGCTATCCGGAGAGAGAGCGAGCCAGAGTGAGAGAGAGGGCTGGCTGACTGTGTGTGTGTGTGTGTGCTTTGTAGCCACCACCAACATAATATAACGGTGTAACGGTTCACCGTTGCGATATACGAGGTGATTTGGACACGAAGTGGGGAGTGTGTTAATGTGGAGTGTGTTGGTGGTGGTACCCCTCATAAGAAACTACAGAGAGAGCTCTCTCTGGCTCTCTGCTTTAGCTTAACATTGCTCTGTTAGCCCATATCGTAACTGTTAAGCGGCAGCAATGCCTCTCCTCACGTAAGCCCCGTGACGTAAGCCTACGTAAGGGTGGCCTTTTCGATTCGATGGCATATGGCAGTTATACGGGATTTGACTGTATTAACATTTGCTGGATTTTCTGTTTTATTGACCGAGCGACTTATTACCATTAACTTTTCCACCAGCCATCAAATTTTAATTCGGTTTCATTGAGGTATTACTGAATTTCTTTTTGTCAGTCCACAGTTTGTTAAATAATTATTTAAATCCCGTATTAAATTGATGAAATTTACTCTGAATTTCATTTTATACACTTTTCTTGCTAAGTATATGATATAAGAATGACTAAATGATTTTAGTAAGAATGTTAACATTCAGGCTTAGACGAATTTAAAGGGAGTCAAATAAAATATATTCTGTTTATCATTTCTGGAAAATATCCCCTGTGTGGCAAGTTATATGATTAATACCCCCACGCAAAAAGCTGTTGATCGGTTTTCTTCCGGGGAATTTCGGCGGTGCCAGATGAAGGGAACTTTTTCCTGGGAATCCCCTGTTAACCCTTTCCTGGCCAAATCGCTGCGTTAACGGACAAACTCATTTGCACTTGCGATTGCAAAATTTTCACTGCTGCGATTTCCGAGTAAGAAATACCGAAATCGTTCTGTGATTGCCACACATTAATGATATCGCTGCGTGATGTGTTCTTCAGTTCTCTGGAATGTCCATCAATGGACACGTCTTCGAAACGACAGAAGAGCAGAGATTCCCAAAGAATGGAAGAATTTCAAGCGGAGAGAGGAGAATGCATGATACTGCGGCTCCATCAACAAGTTGTGTGGCCTCTTGGGATATTTTTTCATATATTTCGCTGCTCAAAGAAAGTTGTACAAAAACCAAAATCATTTCAGAACACAGAAAAAAGTATCTAAGCTAATGACTAACTTGGAAAAAACGCGAGGAACACAAACTACAAATATTGTCAAAAATGCACTCACACTAATGAGTGGTCTTTGAGAAAGAACAGAAACAAAGAGCAGACTCAACAACATAATAAACAATTTGTACATTAATTTTTAATGCGGTTAACATGTGTTCCCCCTCTCCCTCGCACTCCCACACCCACACTCAGCAGTCAAACACTCGCTACGTGTGTGTGTGTAAGTGTAAAATAGGTGGAGCTTCATAATTTTCTCACTTGAAACGAATTCTCGCGAGAGGGAAAGAGAGAGCCAGCGGAGCGAGCGAGCGAGGGATAGCGAGGGAGAGGCCGCTTTTTTGTTGCTTCGCATTCATTTTGTATGTTAATTAGTAGCCGTTCACTCGCGTGTGTGTGTGTGTGTGTGAGTGGGTGCTCGCTTGCGTGTGTTGTGTATCTGTGTGAGGTGCCGTGGTGGCGTGGGTGTTTAATGAAAAGCGAGCAAGGTGCGCACATTGGTCGTCACTGGGTTGCACCTGTTGCGCTCACTCGATTGGCGGAAAAGCCCGCGGGAAATGTGACGTGGGAAGAAAGTGGGGTGTTGGTGGAAAGAGTGTCAAGCCTCATATATCATGCACATTTTTTTAATTTTAACCGCACCATTATGAATAACTTGTCAAGGCCTTGCTAAAATTGTAGCCTCCCTGAGTTTTGTAGATCTTAATCCCAGCCCTGCAACTACCCAGCACTTCCTGTTCCCAAAGGAGTCGCCTTCATCAAGCGCGTAATTGACAAACATCCGAATCGAAATACAAACGAACTCCGTGGCGAGTACCTTCAATTACCGCTTCCCGCATTCGCAGTCAAGGATTTTCTTCCCAGGCTCTCGAAGGCAACACCCACTGTAGGTTCTTCATTTAAATTGGATTTGTCGATCATTTTCCAATTCCTTCCTCGCCCTGCTGGTACCCACATGAAATAAAGTTGGCTAAGTACTGTCGGGGGTTCCGCTTTGACGTCATCGACTGGAGGTATCAATTAATTTCACTTTGAAAGTGCGAGCCAAGGACTCTGGGAAAATGCAATCCTTTCCCAAGGGGTGGCCGCCAATCGTAGATCTTAGATCCTAGAGGGGCCCTTCAGATGTCCAGATGGGGATTGAGTTGCATGCATGTTTCTTGTTTTTCCACAATTTTTAATTAGCAGTAAACTTTGCGCGGCCCCGAAAAACAAAAGAACCCGAAACCAATTCGATTCGAAACCGAACCGAAAAGTAATGACAGCATAAATACTTTCCAGAGTGGTGGTTCTGGCCTCGGTGGTGCAGAGTGATGCACGTTTTGGGTCGCCACAAACATCGGACTCTCGGAATCGGAATCGAAATCTCAAGTGCTCTCTGTTCTGCGGCCGAAACTGGCTCATTTCGTTTAACACTTTATGTGACATTTAAGTGCCGGGGAAATGTCAAATTTCCTCCTCGTCTCCAAAATGCATGTACAGCGGTCTAAGCCCCATTTCCCCCCTTTCTAAATTTCAAGGGGTTCAGCTTGATGGGGCGGTGGTGGCTTTAGTCAAGTGTCTGGTTCTGGTTCTAGTGTGGGAAGATTTTCCCCCCATGTAAAAGTGAACATTCTAAAGTGCGATTCCTGATAGAAATATATTACACAGAAAGGCTTACAATTACCACTAATTTAGGCAATAAATTAACTGACTTACATAATAAATATGAAAAACCTTTGAGAAATCTAAGAAGACTTTCCACCATTTCCCCAAATTATTCATTGATTTCTATCAATGACAACATTCGATTGACTGAAATTAGCGGCGTTTTCTTTGTTTTTATTGTCTGCCCGAAATCCCTTCGGTTCAGCCTTAAAGTGTGCCAACAACAACTGTTATCCTTTGACAGCCCTAACATCGTCATCATCGTCATCCCAAACAGTGTCAGGGCGATCATCGTTATCTGTTTTCATAACTGTCAATAGTTGACTCTTGTCTCGTAGTTCGAACTGCATTTGAATGTCTGGGCTCAGCCTCGAACGGCTTGCCCGTTTTCATTCACGAAAACGGAGCAGCTGGAAAAGGTCCTTGCGGGAAAGAGAGGGCAGACGATTTGGGAAATGGGAAATAGTCAGGCACGTGTGCGTTGTATGGCAATGATTTTGTGGTTCGGCTTTTGTAGTCCTAAGCGGCCTAACGGTTTACCTGAGCTATCGAGGAAAATGCTATAAAATCAGGGCTTGCATTTGCTGATGCGAGGAGTGAGTGTGGCGAGAGAGAGAGAGGGAGAGCGAGAGAGAGCACCCGCATAGTTTTGGAAAACTTTACCGTTTCTCCACTCGAATCCGGTAACTTAATATTTTGTCGGCCAGTGTTTATCTAAAGCAGAAACTGTTTGCTTTGCGTTCGAGGGAAATTAACGAAAATTGAAACAGATACTAGGGCACACGTCACCGAACTCGCTCTCAGCTGAGCAAATACTTGAAAAGGTTGAGGACTCGTATATGGTGCTTCGTCCTTCGTCCTTCGAATAGATGTAACATTAGCTGCTAAAAGGTTAAACACTCGCAGGCCTCGGCATTCCTGAAAAGCTAATCAAAATGCAGAAATGCCTTTCGCATTGAAACAATATTTAAGGCATAAAAATAATAATAAATCCCATTTGGCCGCCGGCCACCCGTCAGCCCGTCAGCCCGCTCGCCCGCCCAATGAAAACAACAACAAACAGCCAAGGGATCAGGACACGCTCGCCGACCGAAGTTTACCTTGATGCGGCCGCATCAGCGGACAAAGTGAACAAACAAATAAGCAAATGAACGCTCTCTGGAAAAGCACAATAATGAAAATACAAAAAAACAGAATGGAAACGAGATTGCGGCACGCGTCTGGCGACCTACCACAGGACAAAGGAAGCCTCCAGGACTCGCGGGCAGCGCAATCGAGCAGCAAAATCAAAGCAAATTCAGACGGCGTACAGTGGGGCAAAGGCGGAATAAAGTGCAGGGTAAAAGCAGAGGGTTATCCTTTAGGAAGAGTAATGTGTATCATCTTTTTAAATCTAAAACTGGACTAGTTCGTACTGTATAATCGATAAGTGTTCTTTGGTTTACTTCAATCCACATGGTATTTTCACATTTTCATAACTCAAATGCACTTTCTAACCACCCATGGACCACTGTACTTTGACAACAACCAGCTAGATGGCGAAAAAACAAGTTTCAGTCACCTTTTTTCAGTGATTGGTGGTGGATTCTTGGCTGGCAGTCAGACAGAAGACAAAAGTCAGTCACATGTGGAAACGTAACAGATTCGGGGGATGAGGAGAGGATATGGCTTCCACCTTTCAGCCGAGGCTGAGGTTGTTCTTTCACCTCAATTGCAGCAGGAACTGGAATCGAGATCGCATTGTTGACATCATCCTGAAAGAAGCGGCAGGAACGACAATCCAGAAGTCCTGTGGGGTAGTTTTGAGACCAGGATCAGCCCTCATTTGGCCATTTGGCCTGCAGCTACCTCTGTTTGTTGTAAGTAATCGCCGTCATCATCATCATCAGCAGCCTCATCGATGGGTGGAAAGGCGGCCGTCAAGGACAACTGGCGACAACATGTGCGTCATCGCGGTGGCAGTCGCCACGTTCACTCATTAGGTTTGGCCCAAAAGCGATTTTCTATTCCCGTTTTCTCGTTTTTTTTTTGGCTTGAAATTTATTTTTGCGAAATTGCGCAGGAGAGTCGCCGTGGGTGCTG